CTTTTTTTTTTTTTTGCAGTTTTGGCTGGGGCCGGGCTTGAACCTGCCACCCCCGGTTTATGGGGCCGGCACCCTACTCCTTGAACCACAGGTGCCGCCCCTCAATTCTATGCTTTTAAAAAAGGAGCTCCTCAAAAAATGTTTCAGGTAGTCCTGAGTCAAGCTCTTTGTTGTGATGATTCTGAGTCTCTCATCAGGGCTTTTTATCTGGGCCTTTATTACACTAGATTCTTACAAAGGACAGTAAGAGGAAAGCATTATCCCAAATGCTTACATACATTATTGCTAACCTTTTCTACAACCGTGCAGGGGAGTTCCCTTTTTAAGATGAGGTAATGCTAGTTCAGAACTGTTAACAACTTGCTGTGCTGGAATTTGAGTCTAAACCCACTTACTTCCAAAGCCCATATGCTGGAGACTGACCCTGTACTGATGCGTTACCTGGTGGGGAAAACATGCAACCCAGCAGCCACCATGAATTGCCAAGTGCTAGAGCAGTACACAAGCTGTGGGAGTAAGGTAGAAGTCATCCCAGGGCAGTCGGTTAATGGCTGGCAGAGGAGTCACATTTAAACCAAGAAACAGTGGGAATGAGAGAATAAAATCATTCCAGACAGAATAGCATGAACAAAGACAAAGGCTTAAAATTTTGTGAAAAGCAGCTGAGTTGAGCCAGACGGAGGCACTCGAGGGAGGACCCTGAGATGGCACAGCTTGTTTGGATCCGGTCTATAAAGGGCCTCGAACCCTGGGCTGTGGCAGGTCCTGAGTCCCCTTGGCATACATGACTTCCACAGGTACCGAAGCTCAAAGCCTCTCTGCTGGCAGCTTTACTTGCCCACAAGGGCACGGTACACGGAGGCTAGAGCTGAAAGTGTTGCCTGGAAGCAGCCCTCAAACAACCAAGGGTGGAAATTAGAGGATAAATACTGTAGCTTTCTTGCCCTTTAGAAAGGACAACTGCACCCCATTCTGTGCTGTCTCCCACAGACCCCTGCATACTTGCCCCAGTACCCTGCTCCTGACCACACCCTGCATTGACTGGGCTCGTCTGTTTTACTCCCTGCCCACAGGGCTTCCTATATCACCTCCCTAACAACTGCCCACACATGAAGTCCCTGCCTTAGCATGAGGAAATTTACCATGCCCGGCAATGCTGGCTCACAGGCAGGACTAGACCACGTGTCGCTCCAGCACAGCAGCCAGACAAGGACAAATGTGTTACCTCCAGTGGTTTGCTACTCATACCAGAAACTCACCACTGTGAAGGTGAAAGAGATAAACATACACATTCTTCTTCCTGCATTTTAAAAATATACCAGCCCTAAGAATTTTAGGTGGAGGCAAAACACTGAAAATTTTTGCTCCATAAAGCTAAATCTCATTTTTCTCATAAAGCTAAATTTCAATTAATAAATCAAGTTGTTTCAAGCTTCATAATTATGTCCCCATTTTTTCTAGCAACATCAGTTGAATGAGTCTTAAACTATGACTGGCAGACACCCTGACATTTCAGCACCCTACAGCTACACAGTGAAAAGACAGGGACATGACAGCCCAGCGTGCAGGCGGGCACCTGTAGTCCCAGCCAGAGGCCGAGGCAAGAGGGTTGCTTGAGGCATTCACGGCTGCAGTGACTATAACACTGCACTCCAGCTTTCATGACAGAGGGAGACCTCAACTCTTCTAAAAAAAAAGGGGGGGGGGGAGAAAAAGAGAGAGAAAGGACACAGATACCGGGGACCAATGCTTGAGCTCAAACAGGAGCTGGCTCGTAACTAGTGAACAGAGAGCTGCCAATAAAGACCCAACTTCCTGCTACTGCAATTGGCACCACAATAATGAGCACATTCATGGGCTCTAAAAGAGCAGGATCAGCTCACCTTAAACAGGACATGTTGGTAAAGGCAGGGCTCTTTGCTCCCAAGCTTCAAAATCTCTTCCTACTATATCCCTTGAATTAATTTTCCCATATTGTCAAACAGCAATTAAAGATTTGCTTAGGACAATAAGTAGCATTTAAACAATATTAGTATCTTTAGGAGAAAAAATTATCATTCGTTTACTATTAGCTCAAACAGAAATAACCCTTACATTGAATTAGTACATGTTATTACAAACTCTCAGGCACCCACACTGAGAGAAGGGGAGTTTTGATTGAAATGAGGGTGGAGGCTCCAACCTGGAGGCGTGATGATGTCATTTTACACAGGACCAGGCAGGCCTTGAAAGAATTCCAGTAAAATGAACCCACCAGGTACTTGTAGGCCTGAAGAAAGGGGCCCTACTTTGATAGAGAGAGGATATCAGTTTGTAGACTAATATAAACTCAAACTTCATCTACTTTAAAATTCTATTTTAAGGCTCTTGCTGACCATACACACAAAAGAAACTATTCTACTTCCTGCTTCCTGGATCCAGAACTAAAATTAATACCACCAACACTAAAGGTTAGCTAACCGATTTTAAAAGATTTTTGGAGGGCTGTTTTGGGAAACATCTAACATTTTGTAACACTATTTTTTTTTTTTTTTTTTTTTGAGACACAGAGTCTCACTGTTCCCCAAGCTAGAGTGCCCTGGTGTTAATAGTTCTGAGCAACTTCAAACTCTTGGGCTAAAGGGACCCTCCTGCATCAGTCTCTTGAGTAGCTGCCACTATAGGTGCCTGTAACAATGCTTGGCTGTTTTTTGTTTTTTTTTTGTTATTTTTAGTAGAGACCAGGCCTTGCTCTTGCTCAGGCTGGTTTCCTGAGCACAAGAGATCTGCCCACCTTGGCCTCCCAGAGTGCTGGGATTACAGGTGTGAGCCACCCTGACTGACCACTTTAAGTATTTTTTTGAGTATCAAAGGCTAAATTTCAAATAAAACAAATTTAAAAACACATGATCACTAAAAATATGAGGACTTCCTAGCAATTCGAGTAGCCCTTCTGTTATTTTTAAAGTTCAATTGTGTGCTCAGATATTACCTACTTAATGAGGCCAAATCTGATCACCTATTTAAAATTGCAATACATCCCCCTAATATTTTTTCTATAAACATATTTGATTTATTATGTTTACTGTCATCCCCACCAGGAAATAAACTCACAAAGGCAGAAATCTTTCTGTTCGAGTCTTACTATGTTGCTCAGGCTGGTCTTGAACTCCTCAACTCAAAACGATTCTCCCACCTCAGCCTACTGAGTAGCTGGGATTTCCGGCACGCATCCCCATGTAAGCGTGGTGCAGACATCCTGGCTCCAAAGCAAGGATTTAACGGTGATGCCTCGGGCTTCGCTTGCTAAAAGCACACAGGTGAAAGTGCACGGTTGGCAGATGGAGGCCCCGAGGCCAGACAGAAACGTGGGAATCGTGGCTGAAGTCAAAAGGCAAACTGAAAATGCCCACGGATGCTGGCAATGTGGGAGGCGCCTAATGACCCGGCAGGTTTATTTCTTTGTAGTGAAGAGTCACTCGGCAGTGAGTTTAGGAATGAACGGGAGGTGGAGAACAAGGAGGGAACCGGTACAGCGTTCTCCTAAAAACCACGGCTGTCAGAGAAGCAACACCCAGCGCAGGAAGACGAGTCTGAGAGATTCTTTTTAATATTTAAAAAACATAGGGCAAATATGAATATGCAGCAGGAGTGAAACGCACCAAAACGGAAAAAGGATGAAGAGGTGGAAGACCCAGGGAGACGAAAATTAACCGAGGAAGCGTAAGAGGAGGAGCCACTCAGGGTCGGGAGGATTAGCTTCTTCTGAAAGCGGAGCTTTTCCGGGTGGGGAGTGAGGAATTAAAAATTACCTATCAGATGCAATGTCCACTGTTTAGGTGACGGGAACCCTAAACGCCCTGACTTCACCACTATACAATTCATTCATAGGTCAAAAAACCACTTGTACACCCCACATCTACTGAGATAAATAAATAAACAAATTTGAAAATAAAGCGTTCTTTCCCAAACCTGCTAAATCCTTCGATTTCTCCATGAGGCTAAAGGGAGAGAAAGGGAAGCGGGTAAGACGAGGGGCTTGAGAAGCCCCGGGCAGGTCGAGCCGGAGCGGGGCCCCGGGCGCAGCGCCCCAGGGGGGTCCCCAGGGTCCCAGCACGGCCGGGACGCCCGCGGGAGGTCTCAGAACACGCCGAGGCGGAGTCTATGGGGTCTAGTCCAGGCTCGCCCCGGTGGCTGTGCCGCTGGCTGGGTCGAACCTGGGGCTTACCCTTCCAGGTCTCCTCAGAGACCCGCCGAGACCACGAGGACGGCCCTCCGCCGCGCGGGCGTCTCGCGACTGGGGTCACCGTCTACGCTGAGGGCAGCGCCGCCACCGTGGCCGCGGGAAGGACGTCCTTCCGACGGCTGCGGGGCCTCTGCGGCACCGGCGCCCCCGAGCCCGCTTTCCGCCCTTCCCACACTGGGACAGCTCCCGCGGGGCCTCGGGGTCGAGGGGTGTGAGGAGGAACCAGGGGGCGCGAAAGCGCGCGGACCGGCGAAGGGGCGCGAGAGCCCTTACCTCCAGCATGCCTCTCCTGCTCGCCCCGGCCGTGTCGATGAGCGTGTTGTCCAGGTCGAAGAAAACGGCCCGCACTCGGCTGAGCCCCATCTCGCCGGCAGCCAGCCCGCGTAGCCCGCCACCTCGCAGCCGCCGCCCGCGCCTGCGTTCGGAGGGCGGGCGGGGCCGGGAGGTCACCTGAACCTCTCGCGGGGCCTGCGCGGCTTGGCCAACGCCCGCGAGATCCCGCGAGACTTCCGGGGTCTTGGTCTGTAAAGCGCGCGAGACGCGCTATTGCGTCACTGGCCTGCGCCCTTGTCTGGGTTGCTTGTGGGTTGGGTTGGTGAGGCTCGGTAGTTGCTTCCCTTAAACCGTCTGTTTTCTTGTCTTCACGCTGTTCTGTCACCAGGGAGGCTTTCTGCGTGATCACGCCTCGGGAGGGGCCGCAGGAGGCCGTCTTTCCCCGCTAGGCGGGTGTCGGCGCGGAGCAGATGCCGGCTCTTTTGCTGGCCCCATGCCGGGGTGTGTCTGTCAGGGTCTGAAACCGTCCTGCACACTGACGAAGGGCGCAAGGAAAAAACTAAGAGGGTTTCCAGAACTCTGCGGAGGTGCACGCTTAGCTAAAATAATGAGAGTAATCGGCCATTGTCTCTTCACTTGCTTGGTAGTAATCACTGTTACCTCTGTTAGCGTCTTTACGCTGGAGTAGGTTCTAACGTCCAGGGCCTGCATTCCAGGAAGGGACCCGCCTAGACCGAGGAACGCACTCAGCTGGTCTTAGTCCCTCCACTCAAGGCCCTGCATCCAGGTAACTGACCCACCCAGACAGTAGCCCACACCAAAGGAGTGATGGCAACCCCCTAAAACCAGCCAATCAGCAGATTGCCCTGATTGCAATCTGTGGGCACCAAACTGTCTTAAAAAACCCCATTCCCTCTAATACTCAGGGGGATGGACTTTGGGAAGTTTTCATTTATGATATCGTCCAGTAGAGCCTCCGTTTCTTTGGAAAGTTCTTCCCCTTCAGCAGTCCCTATAATTTATGTTTGAATGCTTTGTGGAGTCCCACAATTCTCTTGAGTAACTGTTCTGGTTTTTTTCTCTTCTTTTCTGCCTCTTTAACTACCTGAATTAGCTCAAGAACTTTATCCTCAAGCTCTGTGCTTCTTTCTTCTCCATGGTCTATTGTGTTTTTGATATTTTTTACTGCATCTTTAAGTTCCCTGATTGACTCATTCAAGTCCTTAAGCATTGCCATATCCTTTCTATGTTCTCCACACCTTTCATTTATTTCTTGGTTCTCTTTTTCCACTTTTCCATCAATTCCCTTTGCCACCTATGTTTTAAATTCCCTTTCTGTCATTTCCATTAAATCTTTGTAGGTGGAATCCTCTTCAGTGGCTAGCTCATGCTTCTTGGGTTTTCATAGTGCTAAAATTTTTCTGTTGTTTGCTCCTCATGAGTGTTTTCTTTCTTGCACTTCCTTCCCCTACTTTTTCCTCTTAGTGCCTCCTTCACTTTAAATTATCTCCTCTCCAGGTTTAGGTGTTGAAGTGGCCTGTTGATATCAGGCCACAAGGAAGTGAAGAGTAAAGTGGAAGAAGAAAGAAAGAAAAAAAGATATAGGAAAAATAGGTCGGTTAAAGGAAAGAGTTGAGGGAAAAGAGAGCAAGGACAGTAAGAGGGGAAGAGGAGAAATGGTGGTGTCTGGCAGGGTTTTTTGACCCACACCCACAACTCCAGGACTTTGGGGTGTCGGGTTGGCTGGGTCCCTCGAGGTCAGGATCTCCTTACCAGCCTAGGCAAAAAAGACCCTACCTCCACCAAATATAGTGAAAAATATGGAGTATGTTGCACTGGGGACCTATCAAAAAAGCCAAAGCTAGAAGGACACCCTGCACTTTGAGCTCATGGCCTCCTTGAGCTACATAAATGCCATACCTCCTCCAGCCAGATCAATGCCATTGTCCTTAGTCAAAAGAGAAAAGGAAAAAAAATAAAAAATAGTAAAATTAAAAATACAATTTTATGAACTGAAGAAAAAAAGTTATATCTCAGTTGTATGAGAAATTTATGTGGATATGATGAGAAACATAGAATAATCTCTACCTAATTAGAGAAAAAAGGAGAGAAATGAAAAAATAAAAATAAAAAGGGGTGAAAAACCATAACCAAAATGGAGGAGCCTTTGCTATTGAAGAAAGTAAAAATGAAAAAATAAAAATACATCCAAACCATACCAAACAAAACTACAAAAACAAAAAAAAAAAAGAAGAAGAAACTAAGGGGAAAAAATATATGCTTATATAAACACTACTATTTTAAATCGCACACGAACTTTATGGCCACTCCCTAAATACACACATATATAAGTTGCAATACATTCCCTGGACACCAAGTGGCACTGTGGTGTTAGGAAACAGAGAACACACAGGCTGTTTTTGCAGTCTAATGTCGGGGCGGAAGCCATTCTCCAGTTTCAGCAGAATCCCAGACCTGTCCTTCTGACCTACTTGCACCCAGTCAGGGCCTGGTCACTTCACCAGCACTCAGTCCCCATGGGATCAGGATCCCAAAGCTCTCACCAGATCTCCCAGGTGGCACGTGTTGACCTTTCACACAGTGCCCCTGATGACAAAGTCATTTTCCCCGAGGTAGGGGTGCTCAACTCACCCCAAAGATGGCTGTCCAAGCCCAGCAGCCATGCTCAGGCCAGCTGTGCACTAGGACCCTACAGACTTTCTCTCAGGCAGCTTTCCTTCAATGGTGGCTTGCCTGTAGCGAAGCTAATGGGAGCCTCAACCCACATGGCCCACAATCTCGGCTGCCTGACACTGCTGGAGTTCCCTTGCTCATCCAAGCCGGTCCAAGGCAGTACAGGGAGCAGTCCAGACCAAAACCCAAACCATTAGGACAGCCCTTTCCCACCTCCAGTCTTCTGGGAGGGCTACCAGTTGACCTACCCACACCCTGGTGCTGGTCCTTCTCAACTCCAGACCTCTTCTTGGGCTCCGGAGTCTCCTACCGCTTCACTGTGCCCCCAGAGCAATGCTTCTGGGTAGGTTCTGCTAGCCAGAGGTGGCTGAAATCCTCTGTCCACTGTGTGGCCAAGAGTGGCTGGCAAGGAGTGGCTGGCTAGTCTGCTATCTTGCTTCGCCCCGCTAATCTAATGTAGTTTTTAAGAGAGGTCTTTTTCTCTTGGCACATGAGATTTCCACTGAGAAGTCTGCTGCCAGTCACAGTGGAGCTCCTTTATATGTTATTTTTTTTCTTCTCTTAAGACCTTTCCTTTATTTGTAATCTTTGGAAACATGATTGCTAAATGCCTTGAGGTAATCTTATTTAGCTTAAATCTGCTTGTGATTGGTTTTGTGTGTGTGTGTATGGCTTACGGTTTAGTGACTAAACTTTAGTCTCTTGGAGAATGTCTGATATGCTGATGAGATGAATGTATATTCTGTAGTTTTGTTTTTGTAGACTCTTCTGTAAGTGTCTTTTGGGTCCATCTGTTCTATTATCTTGTGTAGGTCCAGTGTTTGTTTATTAATTTTCAGCCTCCCAGAGTTCTAGGATTCTAAGCGTGAGCCACTATCTCTGGTCTGAAATAGGCTTTTAATCAATAACAGTAAAAAAAAAATACAATGATGGTCCTTATAAATGATACAGTGATCAATTCAACAGGAAGATATAACAAAACCTAAGTATATATACACATAACACAAGACCTTCAAGATTCATTAAAGAAGGCCAAGAAGAGGTATAAAGAGCAACATAGTAACTAGTGAGGAATTTCAACACTCCACTGACTGAACTGTACAGGTCACTGAGGCAGAAAACAATAACGATAAGAACAAAAATGATTCAAATAAAAAACCAAAAAAAAAAAAAATCAACAAAACTTAGTTGTGTTTTTCAAAAGTAAAACATACTGACACATCATTATATTATTGATAAACAATTTCTAACTAAGAAAATAAAGACGAGTCAGAAGACTCTTTAAGAAGAGAAACTTTAAGAAGTTTCCGAAATGAAATAGGAAACAAATGTAGATGGTGAATCAGCAGCCTCACAAGGGACTGGCTTCTGTCTCACCTTTAACAGCGAATTATCATGGGGTGGCGCCTATGGCTCAAGGAGTAGGGTGCCAGCCCCAGATACCAGGGGGTGGCAGGTTCAAACCTGGCCCTGGCCAAAACTGCAAAAAAAAAAAAAAAAAAAAAAAAAAGCATGACTTGGTACTTTCTAATTTGGGGGTCTAAGAAAAGGAAGAAGTAAAATCATCTCTATTTGCTAATGACATAATATTATACATAATAAAACTCTAAAGACTCAAAAAATTGTTGGAAGTGATAAATTCAGTAAGGTAGCAGGTTACAAAATTTACATACATAAATGTGGAATATTTCTGTATGCTAATAATGCGGTATCCAAAATAATAAAACAGCCCCACTTACGTTAGCATAACAAATTAAGTGAAAATCTTATGAGTCAATTTAACCAAAGAGGTGAAGGATCTATAGACTTAAAACCATAAAACAGTGATGAAAGAAATTGAAGATGACACAAGTAAAGGGAAAGCTACGTCACATTCATAGATTGGAAAAATTAATATTTTGTTAAAATGTTAGCTGGGGGTGGTGGTGCCTGTGGCTCAGTGAGTAGGGTGTCAGCCCCATATACCAAGGGTGGTGAGTTCAAACCCAGCCCTGGCCAAACTGCAACAACAACAACAACAACAACAACAACAATTAGAAAAAAAATGTTAGCTGGGAATGATGGCTCATGTTGGCAATCCTGAAACTTGGGGAGGCCAAGGCAGGAGGCCAGGGGTTTGAGACCACCCAGTTTGAGCAACATAGCAGGACCTTATCTCAAAAAAAAAAAAAACAAACAAAAACAAAAAAAAATACTCAAATGACAGATTCAATGTAATTGCTAACAAAATTTTGATTTCATTTATCAAAAAAATTGAAAAGTTTTAGAATCCTAAAACTTGTATGGAACCATAGAAGACCTCAAATAGCCAAATCAACCTTGATTAAAAAAAACTTAAGGTTGAAAGCATCACACTCCCTAATTTCAAAATATATTGTAATGCGATCATAATCAAAACAACATGATATTGGCATAAAAGCAGACATATCAACCAAGGGAACAGGATAGATAGCCAAGAGATACACCCATGAATTTAAATCAATGATTTTGGACAAAAGTACCAAGAACACACCATAGGAAAATCACAGTCTCTTCAATATATGGTGTTAGGAATACTGAATATTCATGTGCAGAAATTAAATTAGACTCTAATATCACAACATACATAAAATCAACTCAAAATTGATTAAATACTTGAGCCTCAAGTCCAAAATTATACAACTACTAGAAGAAAACAAATGGGAAAATATCCACATCATCGGTGAGGACAATGAATTTTTTAAAGAAAGAACAATGTGAATGTTATTTCTTATTAATGCATCATGGACTAGGTATACACTGACTGAAAAAAAACCCACATAATATTTATCAGGTGACACGAAAAATAAATCATCAGTTTTGGTGTGGGGGAACAGACACACCCACACTCCAGTTGTGGGGTGGCATACTGGTGCAATTATTTGGACTTATTTTTAATTTACCTATTTGATTTTTATTATGGAAAATTTCAAACATATACAAAAGCAGACAGAATATTATAGTAAGCACCTATGCATGCATTACTCAGGTTCAAAAAATTAGAAAGTCACAGCTAATTTTGTTTCATATGCACAAGCATATGAAATATATATATTTTGTTTCCTAACTTATACCCCCATTATTTTCAAATAAATCCCATATATCACATAATTTCATTCATAAATATTTAAGTATTATATTTAAAAGACAGAGGTTATTTAAAAATATTATCATAATACCATAATTAAATATGAATATTTTGACAGTAATTCCTTAAAATCACTACTGTTCGAGTTCTCAGATTGTCTCATTTTTCTGTAGTTAGTTTGAATCACATCCAAATAAGGTCATAGGTTGTAGTGAGACAATTTATCTAGTAAGTCTCTTTTAGTGAATGAGCACATCTGCCACATCTTTTTTTCTTTGTAGTTTTTTTGGTTGAAGAAATTAGAAGTTTTTTCTGTGAGGTTTCCATATTTTAAATTTTGCTGATTCTACCCCAAGACATTGTTTAACATTCAATTACTCTGACGTACAGGTCATATGGGAAAGGTAGGATGTAGCTTCTCTCCCTGCCTTTTCTCCTCCTCCTCTGCCTTTTCTTCTTTTTCCTTTTAATTAGTTTTCTATCTAATGAATTGGTTTCATACTACTGAAGAGTCTTGTGATTTTCTATTTTAGTTTCATTATAAATACTTGGATTAAAACTGCTGGATGTTGGGTGGTGCCTGTGGCTCAGTGGGTAGGGCACTGGCCCCATATACTGAGGGTGGTGGGTTCGAACCTGGCCCCAGCCAAACTGCAACAAAAAAATAGCCAGGCATTGTGGTGGGTGCCTATAATCCCAGCTGCTTGGGAAGCTGAGGCAAGAGAATCACCTAAGCCCAGGATTTGGAGGTTGCTGTAAGCAGTGATGGCACAGCACTGTACCAAGGGCGATAGAATGAGACTCTGTCTCTAAAAAAAAAAAACAAAAACAAAACCCCCCCCAAAACTACTGGGTGTTTTAACTTATTGCAGTTATGATTCAAATTGCCCCAATTTTGGCCAACGATTACCTGTTCAGATTGGCTCTTGGGTCTTTTCAAAACGACTTTAGTAGTCTTTCGTAGATTCTTTGATCACATGATGTCCCAAGTTCATTTTCTAGACTTCCCACAGACTTGAATTTAGCCATTTCTCTAAGGACCCTTGACTCCTTTAAATGGGAAATGGAGTTCAGAGGCCACGGTTTTGGTATTGCAGGTGTTCCTTGCGACTGGATCTATCCTTGTTTCTACATCTTTTCAATAGAGAAAGCTAGGTAATATGATTTTATTTTATTAAGACACAGTCTTACTATGTCACCCTCTGTAGAGTGCAGTGACGTCACAGCTCACAGCAACCTCAAACTCTTGGGGTTAAGTGAGTCTCTTGCCTCAGCCTCCCCAGTAGCTGAGACTAAGTAGTTGTCATTGTTGTTTGACAGGCCCGGGCTGAGTTCGAACTCATCAGCCCCAGTGTATGTGGCTAGCACTCTAGCTGCTGAGCTACAGGTGCTGAGCTGGAAGTATAATTTTTTAATAATAAACTATATCAGGATTTTACTCATACTTCCAATCAATAACCGGGACAACAGGCTTTTTACTTTACCTTATTGATCTTATATTCAGCTTCCTTCTCCTATCTTGAACATCTCAGCTTTCAAGAACACTAACAAAATTACTCTCCTACTTAATCATGCAAGACAAGAGTACCTATTTCAGGGCAACAAATTTTTGAATAGTCCCCTCAATACTACAGGGAGCAAAACCAAAAATAGATATGCAGGCTAAGAAAAGCATCGACACAGCTAAGAAAAAAAAATTAATGGAGTGAAGAAACAACCTACAGATGGGGAAGAAGTATCCACCAGGCATAAATCTGATGAGAAACTAATATTTGAAATGTATAGGAAACTGAAATAACTCAATGGCAAGAGAACAAACAAGTAGCTTTTTTCAAATGGGCAAAAAAAGTAAATAGACATTTACCATAAAAAGCATATGAATGACCAGCAGGTGTATGAAAATATGTTCACCATCTCTAATCATCAGGGAAACGTAGATTAAAATCACAATGAGCTATCACTTCACTATTGTTAGAGTGACTCTTTAAAAATAAAGTGTTGGTGAGAATTGGAGCAAAATTGGGACACTGTTGGTGGGAATGAAACTTAGTACATTTTGGAAAGCAACCTGGAGGCGCCTCTGAAAACTAGAAATAGTCTGGGCACAGGGGCTCACGCCTGTAATCCCAGCACTTAAGAGGCCGAGGTAGGTGGATTGCCTGAGCAAGAGTGAGACCTCTTCTCTAAAAATAGCTGGGCATTGTGGCAGGTGCCTGTAGTCTCAGCTACTTGAGTGGCTGAGACAAGACAGCCGCTGAAGCCCAGGAGTTGGAGGCTGCTGTGAGCTATGACACTACGGTACTCTCCCAAGAGTGACAAAGTGAGACTGTCTCAAAAAAAAGAAAATTAGAAATAAAATTACCATATGATCCAGCAATTCTATTTCTGAATATAGATCCAAAGGAAGTGAGATGGAGCTGTCAAAGAGAAATCTACACTCTCATTTTTATTTTAGCATTATTTATAACAGCAAAGATTTACACACAATCTAAATGTCAATACATGGGTGAACATTTAAAGAAAAGTGCTATAACTACACCATGGAACACTGTCTTACCTTAAAAAGGAGGGAATTCTGTCATAGTCACCAATCTGGATGAACCTGGTGGACAGAATGCCAGGGACAAGAAAGACAAAAACGGTATGGTCTCACTGAGATGCTCCTTGTGGTGCTTGAACTTCTTCAGGAAAATAATGAATGAGTGCACGTTTTAAAGAAAACAGCGAGTTAGCGCATGACGGTTAGAGCTTCTGACCAGCTTAGGGAACTGTGTGCTCCTTCCACAGCATGCAGAGCCCAGCCTGGTTATCCTGGGGTCACGGTGCATGAGAACAAAGGGGCTGACTGTAGGAAAACAAGCAGTGATTAGCGTAGACGTGTTCACCAGCCACCAGCTAGGATGAGGGAAAAGAGCCAACAATAATAAACAGCTGGAGGAAAGGGCGTAAAATGATACAAAAGTGCTCACTAAGACAAGGATGCTTTGGGTGACTCTGGACTCAGGGTTAGGGCAGAGGCTGGTCCTATGAATGTATTGCACCTGCTGCCTGTGCCTGTACAGGATGAAAACCAGGAAGCCACTGGACCAGGTCATGAGCCCCAAACATAAAACATCATAGCATGCTGACAGTGTGGTGTGTGTTAATAGTACAACTGTGTTTACTCTCACAGAACAGTACCCCAAATCCTTATTCTTGGTGGTGTTCTTGCTGTTCCACTGACCAGTTACATTCACAGGGAGAATGACATTTACCAGCATGTTCAGGACCCAACACAGGATGTTGAAGGGAAAAATGTACTTAGGAGTGTGCAGTTTCAGCTGTGCCCATGCAGAGTTCGTGGGGCTGATGGTGACGGCCTGGAAGATACTCAGGAGGCAGGTGCTGCCCATGCACACACCCCGGCCCACTCTGTGAACACAGAAGACAAGTTTGCATCCAGCATCACTGAGAAAATATCTCAAACCGAAAGCAGCCATCATCTGTGGGATTCCTTTGGAGAGTACGACCAGGGAGTTGGCCACAGTCAGGTGCTTGAGAATCAAATCTGTGGGCCTCAGTGTGCACCTGGTGAAATAAACGAAGCTGTAGTGGTAAAGAAGAAATAAATTACCTACAAGCCCAACTGTGGTCTGTGACAAGAAGATCATCCCCATTGCCAAGTCTCTGGAGGCCATTTGTTAACTTTTCACGTGACTGATACTCCTTTTGAGAGTGTAAGAATCCTTCATGGAAACATGTGGTCTGCTTTATCACTGAAAGTAGAGTCAACAGTTGTCCATTTACTGCTGTTCTCAACCCATTAATTTCTTTTCTTTTTTTTGAGACAGAGTCTATGTCACCCTCAGTAGAGTGCTGAGGTGTCACAGTTCACAGCAACCTCAAACTTTTGGGCTTGAGCGATTCTCTTGCCTCAGAGAAGCTGGGACTACAGGCGCCTACCACAATGCCCGGCTATTTTGTTGTTGTTGTTGCAGTTGTCATTGTTGGTTTGCTGGTCCCGGTGGAGTTCGAACCCTCCAGCCTGGGTGTATGTGGCTGGCACCCTACCCACTGAGCTACGGGAGCCACCTCCGACCCATTAATTTCTTATTAAAACTAATTGTCTTTTCTGTAAATGTTATACAGGTAAAAACATCTGGAAGAATTATATTATCTTTGTAAGAATATTAGAGTTTTACATATTTTTGCAACAATTCCATGAAGTAAGCACTTTATTATTCTTATTTTACAGGTGAGAACTTAGGCACAAGAAGACTGAATAACATTTCCAAAGTCCCCTATTTATTTGTTAGAGGAAGAGCCAGGAGCTGATGATGTGTTCATCACCACATGTCCAAACTTTATGCACACTTATGTTTTTCTGAATGTCCATGTATTTTTGTGAGTTTCTTAAAAAATGATTGTATTTTTCTTAAAAATTGTGATTGTGACAGTAATTGCTTAAATCTCATTAATTTATTGGCAAATATCACCTATAAAGATTTATAAATCAAAGTAGAAGATAGATGCCTTGATTTTAGCACGATTCTAAGAGAGTAATTATGTAAGAACAAATTAAAGGAAAGCTCAAATGATTCCATGTTAAAATGAAGAGAGGAGACTCTTTTTTCAACTGAACTAAGAAGGATCGCAAGGTGGAATGCCTCTGTGTTGAGCAAGGGGACAGAAGCATAAGATAAAATATTCCAGAAAAGAAACTAAATTACCACTAACCTATAGACAAAATGTAGTCTGAGTGCAGAAGCATTAAATAAAAAATTTTAAATGTTAGACCATTTAAATATATTATGACATAAGTCCATGATTCAGAAAAGGAGCCTAGTAGGAAAACTTGTGCATCAAATCATTTAAAGTAGTACTAAGGTGGTTACTGAGTGTGGGAATGACATTAGAACATTTATTGAAACCACTGAAAGTATCACACCACAATGCAATTCTAAAAACTGCCAAACTCCGTGATTTTTTTCCTACTATAAAAATCTCGTGTATCAAATTTCCTTGAATGTGCCTTCTCTGACTGCAAGAAGAAACACAATCTAAACATAATCCGAAGATGCCAGATGTTTTAGTTACCACAAAAGCACTGTCTCGGGCGGCCCTGTGGCTCAAAGAAGTAGGGTGCAGGCCGCATATATCGGAGGTGGTGGGTTCAAATCCAGCCCCGGCCAAAAAAAAATCACTGCCTCTGTTAAGTACAGCATATGCCCACAGTAGGTAGAAGGCCTGTGTTATCTGTTTCTAGCCATAATGCAAACCAATCAGCTACATATTATATATTAACTCAGGCATTAAGGTGTTGTAGAAACATCTCTACAAATCTTGGAAAGATCTTTGACTCTTTTAGTGAAGACAGAATAGCCAGCAGATTAAGTTTCAAAGCACAGCAGAGAACTTTAAAAAAAACCCAAAGAACAGAGTTGGCTTTATACAGGGAGGATGACATTAAAATAAATTAGAAGCAGGTAAGGATTGCTTTGTAGTTTTGAATCTGCATTTCTTCTCCTCAGTTCAGCCTGTTACTGAGTGATTGTTTTCCATTCCCAGGCTGGCTTTGGCGCTGGCTCATGGAGACCAGAAGAATCCTTTTTCAGATGAGAACAGTCTCCTGATGGAGCTCCTTGTTTGTCAGACTATCTATCCCTGTAGACCAAAAGGTAAAATGCTCACCTGACTTCCTCCTGCTGCTGGTGTCGCGGGCTCAGGGTGACATGGGGACAGCCGGGGAGTGTGTGCAGGGGCAGCCAGGTCTGGGATATGGGTTGGTGATCCTGTGACCTCACCTCCCCGCAGAGCTGCAATTATCATTTCCCGTGTAGCAGCAATGACAGTACACATTAGGGGAGTTCCTGCTTTTGACAGACTTTGCCCCTATTATCATTTCTAAAAACAATCTCAACTTCTTAGTGAGTATCTCCAGAGAGGGGATGATGTTTGGGAGAGGCTGTCCTTTTCCAGTCCCTACAGGCAGATGGGGCTCCCTTGGAGGGGGTGGAGAGGGAGACTGAGAGGTGACAGATAAGGGTTAGTGATGCATGGGTGTCTCTTGCTGGGGTCACTGCTTTCTGGAGACTTGCTGCTGCTGCTCAAACTCACATTCTCTGTTAATTAATTCCCAAATTCTTTTTTTTTTTTAAACACGTGGCCACATAGTTTGTATTTAATTTTGGAAGACTATTGTACAGGGCTACAGCTGCAAGTATCAACAGCTCAAGTTAAACAAACAACCCCCCCAGAGCAACAGAGGGCAAAAGGGCACAGGGGCCTCATGGACCCCAGGGCAGACATGCAGAGGGGCTCTGGAAGAGCCTGGAAAGTACGTGTGGTGACCATAACCAAGGTCCTGAGTGTTGGTGTCTCTGTAAAATGGGTGTGCAGAGTGGGTGTGTGTATTCACACACAGTGCTCTCGTGCAGAGGGGAGCCACTCTCACACAAGGGAGCAGTGCTTTCAAAGAGACGGATAAAAGTCGCAGGTGGGGCACCCACTGTCCACAGGAAAGCCCCAGGGTGAAGTTCCAGCCTGAGGCCATTGCTGTGAGGGGGGCCTGTTGGGTTGCCCATTTGTAAACAAACACTGGAGGGAGCCTCTCAGGGTATAGCTAGCCAGAGAGGGGCAGAGCTCACTCCCAGAGCCAGAAGGAGAGTGACAGGTGGTCACTCTCCCATGAGCACTCTTTTCTGATCCCTGAGACCCCTTAGGCCTGTCTCTCAGAATCTTTTCCCAGGGCCTGAAATTTGGCCTTTGAACCTTGCTGCAACTGTAGCCTGGACCAGACCAGGTTCTCCCAAATAACCCTACCCAGCCTTACTCCCCACCCACCTCAGCAGTGCTGGTAAACCAGCAAATCCTGGGGGCGGCAAGGGCCCTTCCAGGACCTGGGACATTCAAGTGCTCCTCCTAAGAGGCCTTTGCTCACACAAAAGATCACCTCTGCATTGGCGCTTTCCTGCAAGCATCAACCATTGACCCGGAGGACAACTGGATAGCTCAGATTGGGTCTGCTAAACCCAATCAAACAGGGTGTGGCGGATTGCCACAGGCACTCTCCACCCATCTGAGCTTTGACTTGGGTTCCCTACAATTCTCTTGCTGGGAAGTGGGGGAGACAGCAGAACAGAAGTGGCACAAGGGAGCAGTGCTTTTGAAGAGACAGATAAAAGTCGCAGGCAGCTCAGGCTGTGAGTGGGATTGCTAGAATATGTGGTAGTTCTGTTTGTTTTGAATTTTGAAGACCTTCCAACCTGATTTTCATGGCTATACTTGCTTACAACTCACCCATAAGTACAGGATTTCTGTTTCACTTCCTTGTGGACACTTGTTATCTCCTTTACACACACACACACACACACACACACACACACAGGTACGCATATATTTTTTAACATTAGCTGTCCTAGCAGGTATCAACTAGTCAGGTGACAGCTCAACATAAATTCGATTTGCAGTTGCCTGACGCCTGGCAATCTGCAACACATTTTCGTATACCTGTTGGCCTTGTCTAAGTCTATATTAGAAAAACATCTATTCAAAATGTCTTCATTTTTTTTTCTTTTTTGCAGTTTTTGGCCAGGGCTGGGTTTGAATCCGCCACCTCTGGCATATGGGACTGGTGCCCTACCCTTTTGAGCCACAGGCACTGCCCCAGAGTGTCTTAATTTTTAATGAGATCCTCATTTCTGTTTTTGCTTTTGCTTTGTATAAGTTCCTTATCTATTACCCTCTTCCTGACGCATGTTTTCTTTTTTTCCTCTGTGTGTAGAGCTTTATAGTTTGATGCAGTTCAACTTGTATATGTTTACTTTGTTGTCATACTTTTGAGGTTGTATCCAAAAGATCACTGCCAGTTCCAATCTCAAGGAAACGTTTTATGTGTTTTAAAACATGTTTATGTGATTTTTAAAAATTCGTACCTTCCATTTAAGGCTTTGTGGTTTTTTAAAAATCATTTTAGGGTGTGGTGTAAGAAATATGGCCCGATTTCATTCTTTGGCTTGAGGGTATCCAGTTGTCCCAACACCACAGTATGGAAGAGGTTAGGGACCCTCCGAAGGGACAGTGTGGGGGGTTTTCTTCGGGGCTGCCTGGAGCAATTGCCCCACCTGGGAAGGAGAACAAGGCAGGTGGCCTGACTCAGTCCTGCCCCACCCTCATTCCAGCCTGAGTGGCTGCCTCTGCCCCGCCCCAGACCAGGAGGCGTCTCATTGGCTAATTGGAGTGAGACACACCCAGTCAAGGGGCTTATAAAAGGCAGGTTCAGAAGAGCAACTCGCTTCGGAGCCTGACGTGTGGGAGGCAAGAACTCTTTATTTGATCGTCAACATGGGGTTGAAAACTGAAGAGCCAGATGCTCAGTGTCCCTCCAGTCGACGCCAAAGCAGTCAGCCCCCCTCCAAAGAGATGTCCTTTGCTGAAGGAGACTCAGATGGGGGGAAGAAAGCTTTTGAAGAAAAAGGCAAGACGCTCTCTGCCCGTTCCAGTGAGAACCACGCTCAGAGGCGAGGTAAGGCCTTGGGATGGATACTGTGTCTCTGGCAGGGTTTCGTTTTGCAACTGGGGAGTAGAAACGGCTTGCAGCAGAATCTGGCAATCATCTCATGGAACAGGGCTCTTCCTGCTGGTTCTTGACACTGGCTGAGCAGTCTCAGTTGAGAGAATGACCCCCCAGGTGTAGGTCAGAGATACGCTGCCCCTTTACCGTAGAATCAGAGCCCAGTCTTAGTGAGGAGAATTCCAAGGAAATTAAGCCCGAAGCCAGAAATAGCACCACTAGGTTAGGTAATATTTGACACTTATTAGGTGAGAAGGGGCAGAGGATGGATTAACACATCTCCCCTGGGAAGGACCCTGGGAGCTCCTTGGCAGCCAGGGCCTCTGGGATCCTGGACTTGGAACGGAGAAGAGCCATGTTCTGGTGACAAGCTCAGCTTCTCGGTGTCCCCGGGTGGGCTCGAGTCTCTAAGGCGGTAGTTGGAGGCACTCACTCCAATTCCATTTTATCCACAGAACCAGAAGCCAGTTCGAGTGGGAGGAACTCCAGGAAGAGAAAAATCAGTTCCAAGGACAGTGGCCACAGTACAGCAGGTTGGATTTTCTTTTTCTTTTTTCTTTTCTTTCCCAGAAAGTCGGTAACTTTACTTATGCAGGGGTTGGTCAGGAAGGGGTTTTCTCAGTGGCTAAGTTGATTTTTAGAGATCTCGGCATTAGAAAGGTTTTGGGAACCAAGAGGTTTACGGCCTTGCTTCATTCTAAAGTTTGAGGGTTTCTGCGAAAGGAGAGACAAGTGGGGGTGCGCCTGCAGGTGCGGGGGCGCGTCCAGAATTAGCCGGGTGGACGCTGTCCTGGCGGGTCCCTCACTGGTGTGTTTCCTCCGCAGGCACTAGCTCCCTAGATGAGCGCAGCGCGTTCTCCGGAAAGAAGCCGAGGATCTCAGCGTCTGTGCACAGCAGCGAGAAGCCGGACACCCCCAGTACTCCCCCGAGGGTCCGCACCAGGCACAGGAGGCCGCCCAGATCTCGCTCCCCAAGAGACCACACACCACCACTTCGGAAATGTCTGGTGACCTCCCTGCGTGCGAAGTCCGAGGCCATCTATCACGACCTAGCCCAGCTGTGGGCGCAGCAGGCACGTTCTCCCCTGACCTCGGAGCAGCTCGCCCAGCTCGCCCAGCTCCAGGAGCCTCTGTGCGCCATGCTGCAGACCTTCTATGCCATGTCCGCCCAGGCCGCCTACGGCTTCCCTGCCGAGCCCTGGCTGGTGCCAGCCGCGCGGGCTGAGCCTGGGGATTCAGTCCGGGATGGAGAAGCCCACAGCTCCTCCTAGGAGAGAGACAGGCTCACGTTGACCCTCCTTAGACGCGAGGTAACTAAGCTTGTCAGCGGATCAGAGGAGGCAGGACCTGCCTTCCCTACTCCCCAGAGAACGCAGCTCGGAATGAACACCACCACCCCGCAGAGTCGTCCGGAGAAGCAGCACCAAGGATTTCGGACACGTGGTGTTAATAGACGGGTCCTAGAGAAGGCCTAATAAAGGAACTGGAACAATAAACCATGTGCTTAAACACAGGACAGCAACGCGTACACATACTGATACCTCCCCTTTAATTCTGGAAAGGGTTAGAGATCTTCGCTCTCCCAGCTCAAGTCGCGCGGGTATCCACGACCTTTTGCAGCTTTCTTTATGGGGAAATGTGGACATTTTCTCAATTAATGAGATCATGTTGAAATCACCACGCCATCGGTGATTGCTTTTTGTTTTCTTTATATGAAATCTAAGGCAGCGTATTTATATTTATCCCTCGCTTGGCTCATATAAGTTGCTTTTCAAAACTCTTTTATGTTATGTAATTTAGTAGACCTTATTATGGAATATTAAATCTCGCGAAGGTATTCATTCTTTACATATTTTTATATTTTTCATATGTTTTCTATTGTATTTTAGAGTAAGATCATCAATAATTCATCATATAAATGTACTTACTTTTTATGTAGGATAAATAAAAGAATTTGAGTATTTGTTTGGGTGTCTTGTCTTATAATTTCTACACCGCATAGAAATGAGATGAACCTCAATGGTTTTTGAGTTTTTTAAATTTTAGTTAATTGTGCTTCGTTCATTTGGGAATTTGTGTGCATTGCCTGTGTAGGCTACCTGGGGGTTTTCTCTTGGCGTCTGCTTCCTCTCCACTGAGACCTCCTAAGAACTCACAGCTCTTGTACTTAGAGATGGCACATTAACATTTAGTAAATGAGGCTGATTTAACAATAATATGCTCCAAATCAGTTTGAAACCAGGATGTGCCTTCAAAACATATGCGTGTAAACCGTAATTTACAAATTACAGGTGGGGCAGGAAAGGAAACTTCATAAAGATTGTTAAAGTAAATTGCAACAGAGACCAGGCAGGCTTGGAGCATCCATGAGCAGACAAAAACTCTATGGAAATCAAGCGGGGGGGGGGGGGACGACTGGTTGATTTACGCCTCAACGGGAACAACGCACACTTAGTGTATCAATGGTCTAAGTTTGTTCTTCAATAACATTATGTTAAGAATTCTATGTCTTTCCCTCCACCCACACTTACTTAACTTTCACTTAAAATGTACAAAAGCAAATTACGGAACCAGAACATGTGTACCTCTGTGATATTCTGAAATTTTAAAAAAGAAAAAATAAATTAAACTCTGATAGGCTAGGCATAGTGGCTCACACCCATCTTCCTAGAACTCTGGGAAGCCAAGGCAGAAGGATTGCTTGAGCTCGGGAGTTTGAGACCAGCCTGAGCAAAAGCAAGACCCTGTGTCTATTAAAAATGGAAAAATAGGTAGGTATTGTGCCATGCCCTTGTGGGCTCAGCAACTCAAGAGGCTGAGGCAGGAGGATTGCATAAGCTCAGGAATTTGAGGTGGCAGTGGGATATGATGGTGTCACTTCACTCAGTGTAACAGAGTGAGACTCTGTCTCAGGAAAAAAGGAAAAAAAGAGAAAAAGAAAACTCTGACAAATAGAGGTGAGGATGGCCGAGAAGAGAGGGTTCTCATGCTTGTATTCCTGATAACAAAAACTATAATAAAAGCCTGCAAATACCACAACGTTGCACAAAGGCCGTCAAACCTTTACACACAAAGAAAATGTTTCTACAAGGACATTTACCTAGCAACTGCCTGTTCAGTGTCATCTTTGTTATTGATCTTTGTATCCAAGGATATAATTTCAAAATAGTTGTGTAATATTCCTCATTTTTTCTTTAAAAATCTTTGTCCTTTTTTTAATCTCTCTGAATATTTACATAGTTTATGCATATCTCCATTGCAATGTTTTATTTTCAAAGAAACATATTTTTTTACATTTAGGACTTTGATCTATTTTGTGTTAAATTTTGGGAGCATATAATGTCTATGATTTGTATTTTTGTATGGCATGTCTAGTTGTTCTAGTATCACTTTTTGAAAAGACTACTTTTTGCAGCATCTTATTGCCTTTGCTGGTTTGTCAAAAATGTACTGACTATATGCATGTCTTCCTACCTCTGGGTTCTGCATCTGTTCCTTTGGTTGATTTGTCTATTCCTTCACCAATACCACACTGTTAACACTGTAGCTTGTGTAGCTAAGTAGTGTCTCAGTGGTCTAATTTAGTTCTTCAATAATATTACGTTAAGAATTCTATGCCTTTTCCCTCTAAGTATGAACTTGAGAATCACTTTTTCAATATCCAGAAAGATAAGTTGATACATTTTTTATTGGAATTATATTGAACATATAGATAAAATTGGGACGAACTGACGTCTTGGTAACACTGAGTCTTCCTATCCATGAGCATGGTATATCTCTTTATTTGTTTACTTTTTCTATGATTTCTTATGTCAGATAAGAACACTTCTTTTTCTTTTTTTTTGAGACAGAGCCTCAAGCTGTCCCCCTGGGTAGAGTGCTGTGGCATCACAACTCACAATAACCTCCAACTCCTGGGCTCAAGCAAGTCTCCAGCCTCTGCCTCCCAAGTAGCTGGGACCACAGGTGCCTGCCACAACACCTGGCTATTTTTTGGTTGCAGCCATCATTGTTGTCTGGTGGAGCCTGAACTGGATTTGAACCCGCCACCTTAGGTGTATGTGGCTTGTGCCTTAGCCACTTGAGCCATAGGTGCTGAGCCAAGAACACTTCTTAGACTATAGGACTCCCTGCTATGTTGAACAATAGAAGATGATGATGGCCACACTCTGACAACAAGTTACCTCTGGCACCAGATATCTGATCACAGATAGGACAGTCAGAGAAACATATAACACTTTCTCCAAATTATGAAATTAAAAAAAGAAAACAGTAACAATATCTGAAGCAAACAGGGTGTGTGTCACTCCCACCAAGATTTCCCAGTTTATGCCAAGGATATTGGAGCTTCCAGCCTTCCTGGGCTCTACCTCTCACTGGCTTTTGGGTGTGTGTGCGTCTCTTGAGGTTAGCCAGAAAGTCTATCTCTACCGTGGAGAAAATGTTTCCCTTAATAAAAAGTTTGGGGCAGCACCTGTGGCTCAAAAAGGGTAGGGCGCTGGCCTCATATGCTGGAGGTGTAAGGTGACCAGATTTTAACATTGGTAAAGCAGGACACCATGGGGCAGGGGGAGTGGGACCTGGGGGGTGGAGCCTGACAACAATGCAAACTTTGATAAGCAGTTCTCGATAGTCAGTTCTCAACAATTATTTGTTATTATTAAAGTTTAACATTATAAAATTAACAAAAATAATATAAAACACATATCCTAGTGAAATAGCCACATGGCAGCCCAAAACCATATATTCCCTTCCTGTTCTCCCATGTTCCCTAGCTTGTTGTGCATTCTTTCCAAAAATCGGGGCTTTTTAAAATGCCGCAGGACAAATTGTTAAAAATCGGGACTGTCTGGCCAAAAGCGGGATGTCTGGTCACCTTACTCTAGAGAGGAGGGGGCTACTTGTTTGTTCCAGACAGTCTGGCTCCTTCTGAGCTAATTGTCCTTGCCTAGAAGCAAGGGAGGGAGCCATCTCCTTCTGAGACCTTGCCCAGGAGGGGAGTAGGGAGTTTACATTAGCCTTTTCATTTCCAAATGAAGTTCCATTAACCTCTTCATTCCCAAATGGAGTTACCTTAACCTTTTCAGCAGCTGTATATTCCCTTCCCATTCTCCCGCTGTTCCCTACTTGTCATGCATTCTTTCCAAAAATTAGGACTTTTTAAAATTGCTACAGGACACAGGACAAATTGTTAAAAAACGGGACTGTTCCGCCAAAAGCGGGACGTCTGGTCCCCTTATGGAGGTGGCAGGTTCAAACCCAGTCCCTGTCAAAAAAAGAAAAAAGTTTCAGGCCAGGCATAGACCATCTATTTGCTTTTATTATAGCATATTTTATGAAGAAAACTGTTTTTGTTATTTTTTAATTTTTTTATTAAATCATAACCTTATATATTGATGAGTTTATGGGGTTCAGGGTACTGCTTCGATATACAATGTGAAATGCTTTCACTGAACTAAGTAACACATCCATCACAATTATGCACATTTCTAAGTAGTTTTGAAATGTACAATTGTGTTTTTGTTTCTTATAACCGATGTTTATTTTTTCCTGATTTCTTTTTCCCGAAGGAGCACAGCATCTTGTGCTTGTTTTCCAATTAGGATATAGATTAAGAGTATTCCACTTTAAGGTAGCCCCTCCCAGAGTGCCTATACTGTTGCTCCCTCCCTGAACTGTTTACAGATGCTTCCCACCTGTGGGCCTAGGGCCCAGAAAAACAGCAGTCACACCTGAACAAAACTACTGAGACATTATGTGACTGTTCCCAAGATTCCCAAAGAGAGCAAGGGGGTCAGTTAGAGGCGATTGACCCCTACCAGGAAGCATACTGTGAACGCAGAGAATAGGCTGCAATGTGTTTTGAGTCAGGTGAACTCTCGTGCAACTGACCGTAGGAAAAGATACACTTGCTCAAATAGTGAACGTCCTACATGCACCTGTGGAGACGCCGGAGCTACAGGAACAAACACACCCAGGGACAAAATCCTCAGCGCTTATTTTGAGCTTCTGTCTCCAGTGGGACACAGTAAGCTCCCCTCCCCTCCTTTGCCATCACTGCATTCATTGTACGGTGCATTACCGTATATGCTTTAATTCATTTTTGATTTTGTATTGCGTTGGTCTCTCAGTCTACACGTCAATCAACATCACATTATTTTACATTCCAAGCCCTTAGAATATATGATGGAGGAAGTGACTGATTTTCTTTTCAGACTTTTCATGGGTATTTGTTTATTCTCCTTTGCAATACAGTTTCTGTCTCTGGAACACAACAAGATGGTAGCTACCCTGGAATCAAACTCAGTTTATAAACTAATTAAAAGGTCATTGCCATCTTGAGATCCTTGACTCAACCTTCTCACTATATAGTATCATTTTTCATTTGTACAAATCTACTTTTCATGTGTTTGAGAAGTATTTCACACTAACTTATCAATTTATTTTTAAATACATGACACTTTTATTGATTCTACTGAGTGATTAATTGTGGATTTACAAGTAGTGAACATCACTTGCCCTCTTGGCATGAGTCATTGGACCATGATACAATGATTGTAGTGCTGACAATGGCTTCTAATATTTGGAATTTTCACATGTGCATGTACATGTCCTGGATGTCTGCAGTATTCTGTGCAGCTCAATTCAGGCAGAGCTCGCCTATTACCACGCACACATCCTTAAAACTATTGGGAAGATTGGCTACTTTAAAACTCTTGAATGGTTAGGTAGCATCACTGTATCAATTAGTTCATTAGTAGTATTTCTGTGTGGATAATATAAAGTTGTGGGGCTCTGAGTATGAAGGACTCTGATAAAAGTTTCTCTTTCTTCTATAATACTAAACAGTTTAGAATCTCTATCTCTATGGGAGCAAATGTTGAAAATGTATGTAGTTCCAGAATATATATATATCTACATTTGCATGTTAATTTGCACTGATTGGCACAAATTTGTCCCTATTTATTTTTCATACCAATATTTGACTTCAAGTTCTCGCCATGCAAATAAGCAGGCAATCTGCCCTGTAGCCTGTTGAAAAATTCTTCTCAAGTTCTTTGTATGATTCAATTTCTCTAGCCAAAATTATATAATATTCTGGCTCAGGAATTTGAAGACTAAGAGAAAGTTAGCTTTTCTGCAGGGGAACTTCTCAGGGAAGGACAGACTACAGCAGGACACACGGGCTTTGCTGCCAATCCTCCTGTCTGGGACTGCCTCGTTTTCTGATTTCTCCACGGGAGCCCCTGTCTGCCTCCAGAGATCATGGAAAACAAGAGCCTCTCCCAAACACTCTGGTGTCTCTGGAGATGCTCACTAGAAAGTTGAGCAACTAATTGGTAATTGGCAACTGGGACAAAGTTTTTCAAAATATCATTAGCTCCCCAGGTGTGGACTGCCACTGTTGTTACAGAGGAAGAGGTAATTGCAGTTCTGTGGGGAGGTGAGGTCACAGGGTCACAAACACATATCTCAGACCTGGCTGCCCCTCACCCAAACGCCTGCCGCCTGTCCTGATCCTATGGTAATCCCTGAGCCCAACAGCAGCAGAAGAAAGTCCGGTGAGTGCTTTATATTTTGGTCTGCAGGGAAGTATGTGTAACGGGAGATGTATCAGAAAAAGGGATTTTTAAGGCTAGAAACCGAGCCAGCACAACATTCATGCAAAAAAGAGGAGATAATTACTGAGTTATGAACTGAACTTGCGGAAACCACTGCAGTCAAGGCCACGAAACACTGTGTTATAGGTGCTGAGCCCTATTTTATTTTATTTTTTTAGAAGTGCATAAATCTTTATACCAAGTCCTCACATGGAGTGTTGTCCTTGAAATAGGACAGCCAAGTTGATATATTTCCCCGTTCTCATCTCTGAAATTTGGGCCACTGCAAAGGAGTTCTCTGCCGTCCCTTCATGGCAAATTTCCCTTTAGTTTCTGGTGGCAGCTTCTGCCTCTGCCAAAACCAAACATATTACAGTAAGTTCTGGTCAGTAGCTGTCATTTTCTCATTCCTGATAATTTCAAGGCCCTCACAGTCCTGATAATCTGGTTCTTCTTGAAATGCCCAAATATCCATGAGGAATTGGTCTAGCTTTTGTACAGGGAACCAGTGGATAGAGGTGTCATTAAATATGTCTGTGAACTGTGAAGTCTGAGGAAAAAACTCCTCTAGTCCTTTTAAAATCTGAGCAGAAAAATTCAAATGTAAATAAATACTTGATAGGTACAGTAAGTCCCCACTCTTCTGGGGGTGAATCTTCATTTTATTTGTCACCCCTTTATCCTTTAAAAAAAAACAAGGATATTTTGATTCATATGCTTTTTTTTTTGAGACAGAGTCTATGTCACCCTGGGTAGAGTGCTGTGGTGTCACAGCTCACAGCAACCTCAAACTCTTGGGCTTAAGCAATTCTCTAGCCTCAGCCTCCCAAGTAGCTGGGACTACAGGCATCCGCCCCAATGCCCAGCTATTTTTTGGTCGTAGTTGTCATTGTTTGGCAGGCCCACGTTGGGTTTGAACCCGACAGCTCTGTTGTATGTGGCTGATGCTCTAACCCTGGAGCCTCAGGCACCGAGCCTGATTTTATACGCTTTTGTGCAATAAATTGGAAGCCCCAAGGGCAGTGGATATGATGGGCTATGATAGCGAGAATAAAAGAAATTAGGAGAAAACTAAGAGACGCACTAAAATGCAACAGCTTTTTGGAACACAGACCCATAGACAGAGCTGGCTGATAATACAGTAATGTCACTTTCTTCACTTAGCCCCTATGAGTTTCCTCCTATGGGTTTTTTAATGAAGAATTCTATCTCACAATGGAGAATAGTATTTCACACCCCTTTCCATCTTGGCCCCTTTATTCAGATGGATACCTTTGCAATGTAGGGATAATTTTTCTGCAGAACTCTTGCCAACAACCTTTCTTCAAGTCCTTTGAAACTGTTCCCAATGATGACCATCTTGGAAAGGGCATCTGCTGACCAGTTACTCCATAAAAGGTTGTTGTACAAGGCAGTCCCACAGTGGAGCATGTAAAAGATGGTGGGCTCCCCACAAATACTGCGTTTCCCTCCGTCATTCTCGCTGAGAACAATCACACCCAGGGTGTTAAGAACTGCAATTTCAAGTTGGCTAAACAGAGGGTCATATACCCAGCAGTGACTTCTGGGAATCTGGCACTTTTCCAAGAACAGAAGCAAAAATGACCGCTGGTTTCTAGCTATGATGCAGGTGGCAAAGTTCCCAATATCGTAACACACACATTTCAAATGGCAGGGTCTTGTGACCAGGTTCTCTCCTGGGATGGAGCCAGGGGCCATATTTGATTCATTTGATGAGTCAAGGTGCAGGTTTCCAAGGACGTTTGAAAGAGTCCCCATAGGGGACTTCAATTGTTCCAGGTGTTTTGTAAGACGTCTGTTGATGGCGTCTAGTGCTGAACTCCAGAAGTCAGAGATAAGCAGGTCCTCCTCAGCCTCCTGGACACGATGAAGGACGACTCCGCTGTCCGCCTGGAGCTCTGTCTCCGGGTCCCAGGCTGCCACCTCCCTTCGCTGCAGAGCCTCCTCCGCAGCTACCGTCTGCCACGATTCCCGCCCTGTAGTCGAGGCGCCCGCTATTAGCTTCCGACTTCATCCGTGCCTGAGCCCTATTTTTGTTGGTTTTGATTTGCTCTTTTCTCAGCATCTTGTAATAGGAACGCAGATCATTTAAAGGTGTAGATTTTCCTCTAAACACTGTTTTAATTGCATCTTACATATTTGAATATAATCATACTTTTAATACCATTTAGCTAGAAATTTTTTCTGTGTGGATCCATGCGTTATTTAGATGTGTATTGTTTAGTTCCCAAACATGTTTCTCCTATTGATTTTTAAATTTCAGTCCACAGGGATCACAAAACATACTATGATTTCAATTACCTAAAAACTTGTCGAGATTGTGGCCCAGAATGTAGTCTGTTTTGCAAAAAATACATGTGCACTTGAAATGAATGTGTATTCTGCGGTTGTTGTATATAATGTCCAGTGTAAGTAAAAATAGGGCAGTTGATCAATTATATCATCCTCATCTTTTATTTCTACTAAAAAATTATGTGAATCATTTTTTAAAAATGTCTGCTTTGAGACACCATAGTGGTTAAGCGTATCATCAACTCTGACACTGCCTCTTATCAAGGTGTTGAGGAGAAATGGCATTTAGACCTTCTGTTCTCACCTGCAAAGTGTGAAAAATGAAACACTTCATAGAATTGTTGTAAAAGTTGTATATAACACATGAATATACATGTGGGGACTTTATACATGCATACAAGTTCATATATAAGAGCAAAACTCTTAAGGGAAAGGAAAGCAGGATTTATTAACAAAGTTTTGGGTTGAAAATTACCGTAAGTGTACCGTAGTGTATTTTAGCTGCCACAACAAAACAGACCAGGTTTCCATGCAGCGCTCTCTCCCTCTGAATGAGATTGTCAGCCCCTGGAAAATGAAAATGGCCTCCAGGTTTGTGGCAGTAGGAATGATCTTTTTATCTCAGACCACACTTGGATTCCTGGGGAATTTCTTTCTTTTTTACCATTACAGTTCCTTTCATTACACCAGGTGCATGTTAAGGTCTACAGACTGGATTCTCAGACACTTGACTGTAGCCAACTCCTTGGTCCTACTCTCCAAAGGCGTCCCACAGACAATGAGCATTTTTGGCTTGAAACGTTTCCTCAACGATTTTGAGTGCAAACTTTTTTTCTATATTCACAGAGTGGGCAGGGGTGTGTGTATTAGCATCACCTGTCTCTTGAGTGTCTTCCAGGCTATCACCATCAGCCCCACAAACTCCAGGTGGGCAGAGCTGAAGCTACACGCAGCTCAGTGCACTGGGCCCTGCCTCATTCTGTGCTGGGTCCTGAACATGCTGGCAGCCACCATAATTCTTAAGCACGTGGCTGGCCAGCAGAACAGCAGAAACAACACAGAGGAGAAGGATTTGGGGTACTGTTCTGCGGTGGATACGGGCAATAGCAGTATAGTGCTGCTCCACGTCGTGGTGTCATCGTGCTATGATGTGTTGTGTTTGGGGCTCATGACCTGGGCCAGCAGCTCCATGGTTTTTTTCCTGCACAGACACAAGCAGCACATCCTTAAGACCAGCCTCTCTCCCAGGTCCTCCCCTGAGTCCAGAGTCACCCAAAGCATCCTCGTTCTAGTGAGTGCCTTTGTATCCTTCTACACTCTCTCCTCCATCTTTACATCTTTTTTGACTATTTTTCCCAATCCGGGTATGTGGCTGGTGAACATCTCTACACTAATCACAGCTTGCTTTCCCACAGTCAGCCCCTTTATTCTCATGAGCCGTGACCCCAGGATATCCAAAACCTCCTTGGCCTGCTGTGGAAGGGATAAAAAATTCCCTATGCTAACAAGATGCCTCTAAATTTTATGTGGGTTCTCTGGGTTCATTTATACTTGCGGCCATTTATTCTTCCCTTGCAGAGATTTAACCACCACTACGAGCAGTCCCATCAAAGACAGCGTGTGAACCCTAAACTGAGTCTCTGCCCATAGGATTTATCATGTGGGAAGAATAGCAGGTACAGGCTAACTATAAAGAAAATGCTTTCGTAATTTCCACTTCATCAAACATGCTGATGGAAAAGTTTATAGCTGAGAATTCTTTTCAAACTGGACCTCTAATAATTTGGTGAAAAAGAAAGCTTATGTATGTAACTTTGAACCTATTAACTTAAAATTCCCTGAAATTAACTGGGCACAGAAGCATCTGAGTTTAATGAAATGGATCAGAGTGTGTGTTATTCTATCGTGGAAGTGAGAAAAAGAAGCAGTAACTGCACAGCAAGTGGACTGGGAGGGAGCATGGGGGAAATAATGGGTCAGACATTGTGCGATATCAAAGACCAGGTTGTGTCATTTTATGCTAAATCCCTGAAAGAAAGTTGGTCATTTGAAATATGTAATTTTTTTTTTTTTTTTTTGTGAGATGAGAGTAGCATATTTTTCAAATATTTTCAAGTAAAAATGGACAGAATGACCTCAGTGGGGCAAAGTGAACACAGGAATCATGTTAGGAGGTCTTGGTTAGGATTCAATTCACAGCTTAGAAATGTGAGAGTCACAAAGGAAAGAAACTGGGTTTTGGGGTGGTGTCTGTGGCTCAAGGAGTAGGGCGCTGGGCCCCATATGCCGGAGGTGGCAGGTTCAAACCCAGCCCTGGCCAAAAACTGCAAAAAAAAAAAAAAAAAAAAAAGAAAGAAAAGAAAAGAAAAGAAAAAAGAAACTGGGTTTTGGAACCCTTTGGAAGTACACACTTTTGTATCAAGGAATGTTGTGAAGAAAAGAGGCTGGATGGACCCCATGTCCTGACCTTTAGGAAATGAATCTGTGGGGTTGTAGAACAGCTTGTGTTCAGGGAGGAGCTGAGGACCAGGCATCTGGGCAGGAAGGTTATGGTCCCATTTTTGATGAGGGATAATTGCTGGGATATTCCTTTGAAATATTCAAGCGAGGAATTTTGACAGAATATGGAATAAACTGGGCAATTCTTTGACTGAAGTGAAAAATTAAACATATCGTGGTTATTATCAGATAATACAGGTGAAATTTACGGATTATTCAAAAATTCCCCTACAACAAAGAAGCTTGACTTAATTGCCAGATATTGAACCTGGGCTTTATATCACATTTTTTAGTACATATATGGATTAATTTTACAAACCTGATCTCAAAAAAATTTTTAACAAATAGGAAATACTTTAAACAAAGAGGTTAGCTTTGTTATCCATTAGGTTATAATATTTTTGAAATAGTTTACTAAGAGATTTTAAAATATTAAAAACTAAAACTAGGAAATATTACTAATGAATAATAATATTTTTAGACTAAAAGACAATGGAAATCACTCATATCAGAGTTGCTTACTGTGGTTGGTTCATGAGTATTTAGGAGTAATAAGACAACTGAAGATTTATTTACTAGAATAAAAGATACCTGACACTAGGTGTGCTAGCTACCAACTTCTGGGCTTCGTAAAAGTAAACACAGGCTAAAGGCAAGTAACATGTAACAAGAAAGCGTAATGTAGGTGACAAAATTTAGAGTAATTGGGCAGCACCTATGGCTCAAAGGAATAGGACACTGGCTCCATATGCTGGAGGTGGCGGGTTCAAACCCAGCCCCCCAGACAAAAACTGCAAAAAATTTAGAGTAATTATTACATGGAAGATAATAAAAATGAATGAAATTAGTAATAAGCTATACAGAGCTAGTGCAATGTTAAGAAAACTGTGAAAAGACACACTTACTAGTATTAATAATGAGCATCATCAAAACTGATAGAGTTTTTAAACTCCTAGAGATGAATATAAACAACCGTACAGTAATAAATTAGAAAACTGGGGGGAAAATGATATTTGTAAAGTAGAAGCTTTACAAATTGACATAAAAATAGAAAATAGATAGATTTTAAATATGTGTAAACACTACCCACAATTCTCATAGTTTTAAATGACCCTTTTCCATATTTTTAAGGTTTAGGTATTTCTCCTTGAAATTTCTCTTTTTTTGCTTTTGGTTTTTTTTTTTTTGGCTGGGGCCGGGTTTGAACTTGCCACCTCCGGTGTATGGGGCTGGTGCCCTACTCCTTTGAGCCACAGGTGCCGCCCAAAATCTCTTTTATTAATCAGCAGAAAGGCCATGAGAAGCTTTTGTATAGCTATCACAGACATTGTACCAAAACTTAAAAACTAAGCCAATATAAACTATGGATTAATTTATAAAATTAATATATAAGTATACAAAGTGACCACAGATAGTTTATTTCAGAAATGCAAGATCAAACAATAATAGAATCAAGTCATATTACAGAACACGTTAAAAATTAAACGAGACAACTACATTCATTGAGGAAATCATTTATTACCCTTGAAAATTTTTCAGAAGTAAATTACCTTAGAAAAATATGTTTTTAGAGAACATTTCAATTATTAGTGCTGACAACCCATCACGATATAAGAACAAATGATTTGCATATCCAAGGAACACATGAAGAGACATCCTCATTTATTAGTAAGATAAAAAGTAGAAACACAAGAAGGTGTCACGTCACACCTACTAGCACGGGTCTTGTTAAGAAAACAGAACAGTGTGAGTGAGGATTTGGAGGGAGAGATTCCCACAGGGCGTTGGTAAGATGACAAAGTGATGCAGTCCAAATATTAACACAGAGTTATGATGCAGCCCAGCAGCTACACGCCTGAGTACAAACCAGGGGTTCTCCACCTTCCTAATGCTGCGACCCTTTAATACAGTTCCTCATGTTGTAGTGACCCCAACCATAAAATTATTTTCTTTTTTTTTTTTTTTTTTTTTTTTGAGACAGAGCCTCAAGCTGTCCCCCTGGGTAGAGTGCTATGGCATTATAGCTCACAGCAACCTCCAACTCCTGGGCTCAAGCGAGTCTCCTGCCTCAGCCTCCCAAGTAGCTGGGACCACAGGCGCCCGCCACAACGCCCGGCTATTTTTTGGTTGCAGCCGTCATTGTTGTTTGGCAGGTCCGGGCTGGGGATTCGAACCTGCCACCTTAGGTGTACGTGGCTGGCGCCTTAGCCGGTTGAGCTATAGGCGCCGAGCCCATAAAATTATTTTCATTGCTACTTCATAACTATAATTTTGCTACTGTTATGAATTGTAGTGTAAATATCTGATATGCAAGATGTATTTAGGGGACCCCTGTGAAAGGGTCATCCGACCCCCAAAGGGGTTGCGACCCACAGGTTGAGAACCGTTGGTATAAACAGAAATGAAAACATGTTCCTACAAAAACTTGTATTAGCATATTGATGTTCACAGAAGCATCATTTGCTTTAGCAATCCAAATGCCTGTCAATCCAACTGCCTGTCAATCTAAAAGCCCGCGAATCCAAATGCCTGTCAATCCAAATACTCATCAATCCAACTGCCTGTCAATCCAAATGCCTGTCAATCCAAATACTCATCAATCCAGATGCCTGTCAATCCAACTGCCTGTCAATCCAAATGCCTGTCAATCCAAATACTCATCAATCCAACTGCCTGTCAATCCAAATGCCCATCAATCCAAATGCCCGTCAATCCAAATACTCATCAATCCAATGCCCATCAATCCAAATGCCCATCAATCCAACTGCCTGTCAGTCTCAATGCTCGTCAATCCAAACACCCATCAATCCAAACGCCCTCTGTCAATCCAAATGCCCATCAATCCAAATGCCTGTCAATCCAAATGCCCATCAATGCAAACGCCTGTCAATCCAAACACCCATCAATGCAAATGCCCATCAATCCGAATATCCATCAGTGAAGGACTCAACTCACCTGGGCCATGCACACCGGGAGGCCTTCTCCAGCCAGGAAAAGGAACGAAGCGCTGACATGGGGACGACATGGATGGATGTCGAAGACATTACGCTCAATGCAAAAAGCCAGACATGGAGGGCTATGTCCTTTATGAATCTATGTTACAAAATGCCCAGAATAAGGAAATCCATAGAAGCCAAAAGCAGATTACTTGCTGTCCCGGGCTGGGAGGTGAGTAGGAAGTCGCTAGTGAATGATGTGGGGGTTTCTTTCCATGGGCGATTGTGCTGTTGTGGAACTACCTAGTGGTGGTGACAGTAAAACATTGTGAATACACTGGGAAATACTAAGTTGTAATCTTAAAAGTGGTGAATCTGTTCATTTTTATGTCATACAAATTTTATCTCAGCAAAAAGAACTTGAGAAATAAACTCCAAGTTAGAGTCCCAATAAAGGAGACTATCTTCATGGCGGTCCATGTAGCAAAAACACAGAAATGATAAATTAAGAGGAAGGAAGAACTGAAATGAGAAAAAAGAGAGTGTCAGGGGCGGCGCCTGTGGCTCAAAGGAGTAGGGTGCCGGCCCCATATGTCAGAGGTGCTGGGTTCAAACCCAGCCCTGGCCAAAAACTGCAAAAAAAAAAAAAAAGGGAGCGTCAACAAAGTTCTGTTGGTGCTTTGGAGTCAGTTAGGGGGCTAAGAAAAGACACAGTCAAGCTTCACCTGGGCATTTGGTGCAACTCTCTGTCATAAAATTTTACCTGGTTTTGGAAGGTGAATCAATTGGGCATATCAGTGTGACCTAAAGAACATCTAAGAGAGAATTTTTTAAAAAATAAAGTCATGTATTATTTTATTTAACTTATGAAGGAGCAATAGAAATAATACCAAGGATAAAAAAGAATCCAAGGAAGAGCCAGAGGAATATTAATCAGGAATACTTACATGAATCTGTAAATGGAGAAAGCACTCACACCACTGCAGTGAGAGTACGAGTAGTCGGCCCTCTACTGTCTACTGGACAAGATGTTGTGCATTTCAACTAGGAACCTGAAACAAAGCTTTGTAGAAACACTTGAAGACAGTACAGGTTAGAGTCAGATTACCCGGAGTAGTGTTCTTTGGCTAGGGCAGGATTTCCCAATGATAATAGACACATCTCTCTCTACAATAAAAAGTCAAGTTCAAAGTTAGAGCTTCCTCAAAAAGTGGGTTGAGTCGTTAGAATGATCATGCACAATTCTAGGCACAGAAATGATCGTGGCCGAGTAGGCACCAATGGCATCCCCAAGTTCAGGCTGTCACAAAGGCTGCTGCCTGACCACTGAGCGGCTGGGCCACAGCCATAGACTGGGTGGGACTGAGCCCCCGTGCTTTGAAAGGCCCAGGCTGGCTGGAGAGTTGAGCAGGTGGAAGAAAGTGCCCTGTCTTAGTCCTTTCTGTTGCTCTAATAGAACCTGAGACTGCGTAATCTATATATAGAAAAGATTCTCATGATTCTTTTTTTTTTTTTTATGCAACAACACAGTATCGTTTCATGTGGATATTCCATAATTTGTCTTATGGATCCCATTTTCACGGGCATGTAGATCATTGGCAACCTTTTGCTATTTATTTATTATTTTTTAAAAATATTTTATTTATTTATTTGCGGTTTTTTGGCCCAGGCTGGGTTTGAACCCACCACCTCTGGCATATGGGACCGGTGCCCTACCCTTTTGAGCCACAGGCGCCGCCCGATTCTCGAGATTCTGTAGGATGGGAAGTATTAATACAAGGAGCGTGGTGCTGGCGTCTGTTCTGCTTCTGGGAAGGCTCTCATGCAGCTGCCACCATGGTAGGAAGCAGAGTGGAACAGGTGTGTGTAGAGACTCCATAAGGCAAGAGGGGGAGAGAGAGAGAGAGAGAGAGAGAGAGGGAGAGAGGAATGTCTAACAAACATATGAAGAAATGCTCATTGTCCCTCATCGTCAGAGAAATGCAAATTAAAACCACTGAGATATCACCCAACCCCAGTGAGAATGGCCCACATCACCAAGTCCCAAAGCTGCAGGTGCTGGCCTGGATGTGGAGAGAGGGGAACACCCTTACACAGCTGGTGGGAAGGCAAACTAATACAGCCTCTTTGGAAAGAAGTACGGAGAATCCTCAAAGAACTCAAATTAGACCTCCCATTTGATCCCATAATTCCATTATTAGGCATCTACCCAGCAGAAAATAAATCATTTTATCATAAGGACATTTGCACTAGACTGTTTATTGCCGCTCAATTTACAATCACCAAGATGTGGACACAACTTAGGTGTCCACCAACCCAGCAGTGGATTAACAAGCTGTGGTATCTGTATTCCACGGAATACTATTCAGCCATAAGAAAGGTGGAGACAGGGTGGCACCTGTGGCTCAAAGGAGTAGGGCACCAGCCCCATATGCTGGAGGTAGTGGGTTCAAACCCAGCCCTGGCCAAAAACTGCAAAAAAGAAAAAAAAAAAAAAAAGGTGGCGACTTTACATCTTTTGTATTAACCTGGATGGTGTCGAAACAATATGAACGGATATTCACAATATTACGAAGAAAGACTATAAAATTTAATATTAACTATGTTGAATGTTGTACATATTTTGCTAATGCCCTTCACAATAAGAAACTTCAAATCTTAGTACTTAAAAATATGTGTGTCCTGTGTGTTTTTGCTTATAAACCAGAATATTGTATTAAATTTAATCAAATACTTTGAATATTTCAGATGCCTCATATAACCAGAATAATGTAGTATTTGTATTTTTTGTGACTGGCTTACTTCACATAATATAATGTTCTCAAGTTTTATTATGTTACAGCACATAACAGGATTTTCTTTTTCAGGCTGAGTAACCTTTGGCATATTTTGTTATCAATTTCTGCCGGCCTCAGGAAAGAATGTGGGCGTTTAGGACTGAAGTGACGTCTTTGTATCTGCTCGATTGCAGTTAGGATGCTGTCCAGACCTAAGATGTCCTCTAGGAAACCCTTTTTAAATTAGGATTATGATTGCTTTTTAAACTATTGCTTTATGTTACCAATTTCTAGCATTAAAAATGTATAGCATGTATTTTTCTTAGGTCAGTTTTGGATAGTGTCTTTTTATAATGTATTTCTATTTCACCTGAATTTCTTAATTTTTTTTTTTGCAATTTTTGGCCGGGGCTGGGTTTGAACTCGCCACCTCCGGCATATGGGGCCAGCACCCTACTCCTTTGAGCCATAGGCACTCCTCGGAATTTCTTAATTTTTGTAGTAAATGTGAGAATGTTCCTTTTCATTCCTGATATTGCTAATGTCTGCCCTCAATTTTTTTTCTACTTTGAGCATAGTCTAAGAAGTTAATTAATTTTATTAATTTTCTCAAATCAATAACTTTGGCTTTATTTATTCTTAATATTATTGCTTTTATTAATTTTTCCTTTTTTCTAAATTACTTCCTATACTCAATTATTGTAAACATATTATTAGGCTATTTTAAAATTTTCCCTTAATGTCTTCAAATGGCTCAGATTCCCTTTCAGCAAGGCCTTGCTACATCACATTTTTTTATTTGAGACAGAGTCTCACTACATCACCCTTGGTAGAGCGCTATGGTGTCACAGCTCACAGTAACCTCAATGTGGGTATTTGCTCAAACTCTTGGGCTTAAGCTATTCTCTTGCCTCAGCCTCCCAAGTAGCTAGGACTACAGGTGCCTGCCACAAAGCCTGGCTATTTTTGTTGTTGTTGTTGTTGTAGTTGTCATTGTTGTTCTGCCAGGCGTGGGCCAGGTTTGAACCCACTGGCCCCGGTATATGTGGCTGGGGCCCTAAGAGCTATGGACACTGAGCCCACATCACATTTTTTAGCAGTATTTTTACAGTGTACAGTTCAAAATAAATTCAAATTTTCATCAAAAGCTCTGTGATCCACATATTTAGAAATGTATTGCTCATTTCAAATATTTGAGTTTTTATAATTTTATGATATATTTATCTTCAATTTAGTTAGAGAATGTAATCTGAGAAATTTTAGTCATGAGGAATCAGTTAGACTTGTTTTATACACAGGCATATGGCATGTGTCAGTAAATCTTTCATGTTTCCTAAAATGTATATTTTGGAGTGGTTGTTTAATTTGGTGTTCTATAAATCAAGTAGACCATTTTTGTCAATGTTTTTGCTCAAGTTCTTCACTGTAAATGATGATATTTCTAGTTCACATTTTTGGTTCTACCGATATTTGCTTTATATTTATTGAAGTTATATTAAAAGGCATAATATAATTTTTAAATTACTACAGTTTCCTATTAGATTCACTTTTTTGCATTATGATATATTCTTTTATCTCTACTAATGCTGTTAAAATCTATTTGCTTTCTTTTGTATAAAGTTCCTATGGTGTGTATTTTTTCATCCTTTACTTTGAACCTTTACGTACCTGAAAATGTAACTTATCAGAATCATAAAGAGAATAAAACTTTACAAATGTTAGAATAATTGTCTTTGGATTGGTTATGGACCACTGAGCCGTGGAATAACATACCAGGGCAATTTAAAATGTAACAGTAGCCTTTAGTTGTGGCACCAACTTTATTACATTACAGCCTTTCCTCGTAAATCATGCCTGCTGACAGAATTAGTGCCTATTACTGACCAACTGAAAAAAGGTGAAATAACTTTAAAATAAGGAATATGTAATATAAAACTCATTACTATGCAGTTCTTACAAATACATTATCTGTGAAACCATACACATATGCACATGTTTCTGTGTTTTATAACTATACATGTAGATAGATGAACTATTTTCTAAGCAGATTAAAACCACACTATGCAGGTGTGAGTTTCAGAAAATCAGGCATATTCTTTCTGATGACCCTTTTCTTTCTGTTCATCACTGATAGTTATTCTGGAAGAATGAATCAACAAGAAAAAGTCACTCTTATGAATACACAAGTAAAAGTAAGGACTACTTCAACAAATAGCACCAGAGCAATCTCAATATGAAGTAGGCTTAGGCCATGCAGGTTTTTTTTTTTTTTTTTTGGAGACAGAGTGTCACTATATTGCCCATGGTACAGTGCTGTGGCATCACAGCTCACAGCAACCTCAAACTCTTGGGCTCAAGCAATTTTCTTCTCAGCCTTCCAAGTAGCTGGGTCTACAGGCGTCCAACACAACACCTGGCTGTTTTTCTTTTTGTTATTGTTGTTGTAGTTGTTATTGTTGTTTAGCAGGTCTGGGCCAGGTTCAAACATGCCAGCCCTGGTGTATGTGGCTCGCACCTTAACCACTGAGCTACAGGTACTGAGCCTTGCAAATTAATTTTTTAATCATTAAGTCCAAATACTTTATATTATAAATGAAGGAAATGATTCTCCTAATGGTTAAATGACAGTGATATTTAGTTTCAGAGCCAAGACCAGCAATGAGGTTGGAATGCACAAATTCTAAGGGATGAAATCTAATTAGATCAAGTAATTAAAAAGATAACACTGCAATAAAGTTTTCACATGACAAAAATTGCAATATTGTTTATAATTTTACCCCTCCTGAAAATGCAAAGTCTGGCAATAAGGTCACAGACACGCCCTGTGCTCACTCTTTGGTGGCACTGCATAAACAGCTTGCTGAGGTTTCATAACCTTGGCGCATCCGTGTCTCACAGTTGTGTTCATGTTGATGTGTGGTGGTGTCTCGCTGAGTGGCGTTCAAAAATGTTGTTGTGCGTATGCCATTGTGAGAATGTCAGAGGTTGAATTAGAGCACTGAACAAACATTGGTAGATTTCTTGTTAAACTTGGCAAGAAGGGAAACGAAATCAGGGATGCGTTAGCCCAAGTTATAGGCGTAATGACATGAAGGAAATGGCTGTGTGCAAATGGATTAAGTGTTTTTCTGAGGGGAAAGAAAGCATCACTGATGAAGAGAGGTCAGGGTGTCTCGTAACAAGCAAAACTGATGAAAGAAAACATTGCAAAAATTCACTGGATTGTGTCAAAATCATTGGGTGTCGGTAAAAAGCATAGCAGACCAAGTAAACCTCGAAAGAGAAAAAGTTAACTGAAAATCTTGGCCAACAACTCATGGCTCTTGCATGAGAACAAGGCACCAGCTCACACGGCACTGTCTGTGAGGGATTATTTAGCCAGTAAACAAATAACTGTGTTGAAACACGACTCCCTCCACCCAGTCTGGCCCCCAATGATTTCTTTCTTTACCCAAGATAAAGACAATATTGAAGGAGGATATTTTGATGACATTCAGGATATGCAGGGTAATAGGATGACAGTTCTGATACCCATTCCAGAAAAATAATTCTGAAATAGCTTTAAGGGTGGATGAGGCGCTGACGTCAGTGCATAGTGTCTGAAGGGGAGTATTTTGAAGGTGACCATAGTGATACTCAGCAATGAGGTATGTAGCACTTTTACTAGGATGAGTTTGTGAATGTGTCACACCTGGCATATTCTCTAATATATATTTTTATTATACATAAATCTATGATTACTACCATATATTTTTATGTTACTTATTTTCGTATAATGCATTGCATTCTCTCTCTCTCTTAAAATATTTGAAACTCACTGTGAATTCTGGAATGTCTCTCGTCCAGATGACTCTTTTGTCTCATTTTCACTTTCAGATTTCCTATAAATTAAAAAAGATAAAGAAAAGTACGTACTCTTCAAGATTATCTATTATCTATCAGTATTGAAACATTTCTTAATTCCTCCCTGAGAATTCAAAGTATTCTTCGAATATCTCCCCACTGAGAACTCCCCTCACCTGGTAATTAAAACTGAAACTGTGTACCCTTGCATCCTCATATAGGAGGACAAGCACAGTGATATGCCTTTATCCGAAAATAGACTCAAATCCTTCTTATACTCATCATATTATTGGTTAAACATCTATAACCTTTTTTTGCCATTCATCCTTAGCTCTATTTATTTCTGTTATTTTTATAAGCTACTTTCCCCCTCAAAGGTATGTTTTTCCATGTCTATCCAATACAAGATAATTACTTGGTGGGACCACACCTACAGTGCATCTTACAAGGGTACATGTGAAATTTACTAGGTGTAGAATATAAAAGCCTTAACACAATAACTAAGAAAATGTCGCGAAGGCTGTGTTGACCAGGGTGATGAAAACACTTCAAATTGTATATAAAACCAGCACATTGTACCCCATGATGCCATTAATGTACACAGCTATGATTTAATTGAAAAAAAGATAACTACTTTAATGCATTTAAATCTTGACTGAATTGTCATTATTTTATGTGCCACACATAATTCCAGCAATTTCACATCACCTTTTCAAACTATTTCTATAAATTATATACCTTTTTTATATACATTGCCTTATTAATGTAAGTATTCTAATGGAATTTAATTCATTTTAAGTAAAATAAAGTGGTGGCAGGGGTAGGTATAAAAAGAAAAGGCAGAAATTATTTTATAGCAATTTTCTTGAAGGGAAGTAACCCAATTTTAACATTCATTTTTATTCTTGTGGCAGTTTTACAGATATTTCTATTTGATAATGAAAATTATTGATTGAAAATTATTGGTTTTATTTCTGCATATTAGCTATAGCTATAATCCAGATTTTTCAATCTTATTGTATAGTAACTTTCAATCTCTTCTCCCTGTGACTGCCTATGTCTCAATCTATGTAACTACAAAACTGGCCGAACTTCTTTCCCGAGCTTCTCTATTGCCTTTATTGAAACATCATAAAAATTTCTTAAAACACATATAGATCAAAGTAATAATGTTTAATACACGTTTAATAATTAAAATCAAATAACGAAAGAAACCATATAAACTTTGACCAGAAATCCTTTACATTTAATTTTGGCCCTACAGGAGTCAAAGTTCTTATAATATTAAAATTGCTGGACTTTAAAACATTTGTTCATTATTTGTTATGTTAGTAATTAATATATTAATTATTAAATTCCCATGTAAAATCAAAAATTAATTAATTTTTTTTTTTGAGACAGAATCTCACTCTGTCACCCTGTGTAGAATAATATGGCCTCACAGCTCACAGCAGCCTCAAACTCCTGCATTGAGGTGATCCTCTTGCCTCAGCCTCTGGCGTAGCCGAGACTACAGGTGCCCACCTCAAGGCTTCTAACGGGGCTCTCACTCTTACTCAGCCTGGTCTCAAATTCCTGAGCTCTGGCGATCTGCCTGCCTTGACCTCCCAGCAAGCTAGGATTACAGTTGTGAGACACTGCCCTCTGCCCCCCGCCCCAAATTAAATCTAAATAATAGTTAAATATGCCATGATGCTATGTATTGATTTATTATGAAAAAAAAATTACAAAAGTAACAAATCCTAAATATGAAATCAATATACTCATCGCTTGTGTAGTCCTCAGTTTTCCACTTTCTTCTCTGGAAACCAACTTTTACCAGGATAGCAAGCAGCACACAGAGAATAATGAAAAAAGGGATGAGCAAGAAGAAGGGCCACCGTGTAGGTTTGGAAAAGAAAGGGAGCTCTTCGATGTAGCGTGCTTCTTCTGCAAGAGAGAACATGGAGGAGCTGAAGGCAATCGCCAAGAATACAGCACAGATACGACTGCATTTTCCTAAGGCTATTACCATGAAATCTTTAAATGACTTAATAATTTTATAATTGCTGTTTTTTTTATTTTTATATGGAGAAGGTAATTTGACAGTGTAAATGCTCAAAGACTCTCTTCTAAACGCCGGTGTGTTAGTACTGCCTGTCGCTGTTCAAGACTATCTGTGGGTCTGTGTATGTCCTCTTTTGAAAAATGTCTATTCAGATCTTTTGCCCTTTTAAAATGGAATTATTTGGGTGTTTTCTCTTTCCCATTGAGTTGCTTGAGCTCCTTATATATTCTGGTTATTAGAGTCAGCTGGGTGGTTTTATCCCATTCTGTGGGTTATCTGTTCATCATCTCATTAGTCTGTGGTTTGGATGTTTATGCTTTTGAGGTTTTACTCATGAAAGCTTTGTCCAAACTTTCTTGAAGTGTTTTCCCAATATTTTCTTCCTGCGGCTTTATAGTTTTGAGGCTTTGATTGAAGTTTTAATACATTTTGTTTTATTTTTGTACATGCTAAAAATAGGAGTCTAGTTTCATTCTTCTGGTTCCTAGTTTTCCCAAGGTCATTTATCGAGGGGGATTGTCTTCGTTTTGATGTATGTTGTTGGCATCTTTGTTGAAAATGAATTGACTGTAAATGGGTGGGTTTATTTCCGTTGACCATAAGTTGATTTCGACTTACTGTTGTTATAACAATATGATTGAATTTTATATACTATTTCTACTACCCTTTCAAAGGATATTGATAGAGACTTTCCTATAGCTACTAATTCTAGAAGTGCTTTTGTAGATTTCTTAGGATTTTCAATATAGTTGATCATGTCATCTGGACATATAGGCAGCCTTTTTTCATAACATTTTTCCCTCTCACTTCTTGTTCTTTTCACAATGCAATGGCTAGGGCCTAAGGTGAAATGTTGGATAGACATGGAGAGAGCAGAAAATAAACAGACTTTGTTTGATCAGGTCCCACTGATTCATTTATGGTGCTGCTGCAGTTGCCAAGGGATGTTCTTCATAAAATCTTTTCCTAGGCTGATTTTGTCAAGAGTTTTTCCCACACTTTCTTTCCCACAATTTTTATTGTTTTGTATCTTTTGTCCAGCAAAGTCAATTTTTGTCAGGGCTGAGAGGTGCGGGTCCAGTGTCTGTCTTTTATGTGGCTAACAAGTTCTTCCTGTGGCGTTTATTAAATGAGGATTCTTTGCTCCAGTGTAGGCTTATGTTTAGTTTATCAAAACTGGAGAAATTGGAGAAATTTATGGATATCTATGGCTGGGGCCATCTCTGAGTTCTCTATTCTACTCTATACCAAACTGGTATATGTGTAGCATGCAATACTATTTAGCCATAAAAATACGGAGACATTACATCATTTGTATTAAGCTGGTGGAGTTGAAATACATTCTTCTCTGTAAAGTATCACAAGAATGGAAAAGCAAGTATTCGAGGTAGTCAATACTTACATGAAACCCATATATATAAACAACTACATACCCACACCAAATTAAAAAGCAAGTACATTCTAGTGTGGTCTTTGGTTTGAGACCAGGAACAAGAATTAGTTTTATTTACAAACAAACAAACAAAATCATAGCTCTTTTATATTTGCTCCACATTTTACTTTTAACCAACAGGAAACACGAGTTCTATCTTACAGGTCACTAAAGGCAGCAATGACAGTAAACATTTTCCAACTTCAAAACAATCATTCAACCTTTTGCAACTTCAAAAAAAAAAAAAAAAAACAAACATGTTTTGAAACTATTCTTGAGTTGTTCACTGGCAATCTTCCCAAGACAATTTCAACAATTTTTTAACCAATCTCTTGAAAGCTTTTCTGCTCTCCATGGACCAGCCTATTTCAAAGCCAATGCTACACTGTTATTTTGGACCAACCTTTTTTCTTTTCTGCTAATAATAATAAACAAGCAATCTCTGATTGCTAAGTGAAAGGGACAATTACAATTATGTTGCAGGGACAATGTAGGACCGTACTGATTTGAACCGTATTGATTTGAACTTAGAAGAATAAGAGTTGCCTTGGGCCACATGTTAGATAACAAAACACTAACAAAAGGTGATGGGCACACACACACACCTGGAAAAGGTTTGTTCATGGTTTTCATGACATCCAACACCCCAGGTAAGTAGAACAGTCCTCAAATAATCGGCATGCCACCCACAGACCACAGGTGCAGGACACCCCTGTTTTAGATTCTTTTTTTTTTTTTTTTTGAGACAGAGCCTCAAGCTGTCCCCCTGGGTAGAGTGCTATGGCATTACAGCTCACAGCAACCTCCAACTCCTGGGCTCAAGCGAGTCTCCTGCCTCTGCCTCCCAAGTAGCTGGGACCACAGGCGCCCGCCACAACGCCCGGCTATTTTTTGGTTGCAGCCGTCATTGTTGTTTGGCAGGTCCGGGCTGGGGATTTGAACCTGCCACCTTAGGTGTACGTGGCTGGCGCCTTAGCCGGTTGAGCTATAGGCGCCGAGCCCTGTTTTAGATTCTTACAGAAATATGCAACACTGGCTACTAAAAAATGCTTTGTATTATATTATGCTGCTTGAGAAATTACCTCAAAGCTTAGAAACTTAAGATAAGCATTTGGCTTTCCTCACAATGTTGTGGACTGTGACTTTGGGGAGGGCTTAGTGGGTGGACGTACTTCTTGTCTCCAAGCAGCCAAATTTCATACATTGCAGGAGATTCGTAACAGAAGGAGTGTTCCAAGAATAAGTATGCCACAACATCTAGTCAGACTCTGTAGAAAGACCATGGGAACCCTAGAATGTCAGGCGTGTGTGTTTGACACATCAATCGTCCCATTAAGGCCACTCTGAGCGCTGGGAAGGCACTGGGCTCTGCTGATGCTCAGGGCAGTCGCGTGTGTGCTGAACAGCGCAGGCGGCTGCAGACAGCATGAACACAATCTAACAGTTGCTGCCACAAAGGTCATAGCTTGAAAATACATTAAATTTATATCACGTTTTAAACGTACGACTCTATTACTACCTGGCATTAAAACAGTATCTTCAAATTATGGGGTGAAGGCAAAATCTATGCCTAACTCTAAACCCTAAAAAAAGGCTCTCTACTTATCTGTAAATTCAGGTTTTACATGAAGGACATTCCCTGGCCTTATGCATTCTTGGAAGGGTTGGTTAACTGCTGGCTTTCTGTAAAATTCACCTTGACCTTTGCTCTGTTTGATCAATATTGCAAGAAACTTATGACCCAAGCTCTTGGACCTGCTGTCCCAACTGGAGGTTAGATTTGGTCAACGGGATTCACTGGATAAGGTGCAGAGACTCTGATGAGTAAGACAGCTGTGATATTGTTCTCCTTTCCTCCAGTGTCTCTGCCGGTGGCTGTGTGTCTGTACTCCTGCAGCTCGTGTGGACAGTTCCGCACCCCCAGCTGTGGTCCAGATCTGGCTGTGCAGCCCTGACCATAGTTAGATGTCAGACTAGGTAGCCCAGATTCTGATTTCAGTAACACCATCTCTTCTTGCTGTTCTTCCAGCCCAAAAAAGTGACAGTAGATTTCTTGTTATTGCTAATACCTCATTGCTTCCTGGTTCTTTGATGGGCTTTTCGTCTCTGCCAGCAAGTGCCTGTATTTCATTCTTCCTGTTTGAAAGACTGAAGTTATTTCTGCTTTTGTAGCCAGGGTCTGACTGGCATACCTTGTCTATAATGTTACACATATGGTAATAGATTATTCTCTGGATGTAAATCATAAACATTCGCACATAGTACAGTATTTGATGTCCAAACAACCTAGCCATAAATTGCTATCCATATATTCTTGATTTTATTAAATTTAATATAATCAAATTATGTTTTAATCTTATTTTCTATTTGCTATCAATACTTGCCCTCAGCACGACGTGAAGGTGGAAAATTGCCACTATCAATACTCCCACCAGGCCAGTGAAGGTCTTCATTTTCACAGTTTGGAGGCAAATATGTACGGTGGCAGTGACAGTTCTTTTTGTTGTTACATGACTGAAAGTAGCAGAAATACAAGCTTATGAAGCAAGCAGCAGGAATGACATGTGTGCAAACACAATCATAAAATGATACCAAGCTCAGATAAGGCTGATTTTCCTATGTGTTTGATAGGTGTGGGAATGTGTGTGTGCGTGTGTGCATGTATGCATGTGCACGTGTGTTTGTGTGCATGTGTATATGAGCATGTATGTGTGTGTGTGCATGTGTGTATGTGTGTACGTGTGTGTACGCACAAGTATGCATGTGTATATGTGTGTGGTAAACATTTGTATCTGTACGTATATGTGTGCATGTGTTTTGCGCATGTGTATGTGAGCATGTATGTGTGTGTGCATGCACATGTGTGTTTGTCTGTGCGTGTGTACGTGTATGTGTGTATGTGTATGTGCACGTGCATGTGTGTGCACAGCAGTGCACTCTTTCCTGGGATCAGTCTTAGTGCTGATTATTTTCACCTCAATCACTGGTACTTACACCTCGACTGTTGCATTTTTCAGGAGGGCAGTCGTAACCCAAGTATGAGGCATCCTCACATACCTTATTCCTGCAAACCTAAAAAGGATAAGCCAGAATAAGTTAACTGATAGGTCATCTGAATTTGCCATTTGATGAGAAGAATTCCATACTATGCTAATACAAAAGGTATTCATTTAAGAATAAATATCAGTGCACTAACAATGAATCAGTAATTCATAATGCTACTATGTTTCTAGCATTAGGTTAAACTAGTTATCTGGGAATAAAGACAATTATCAGAGCACCTTCCCTGCTTATACTGGAACAGGAGGCACAAATAAGAAGTAAAAGACAGGTGAACATGTGATAAAGGCCATAAAGGGAAACAGATGGATTTATGGAAGCATAAAATGTAATTTATCTACTATTTAGAATGGTAAAATCTTCTCATTCAGCTGTGATGGTGAATAGGACTTGATGGACATAGAAATAAAAAAGTATACATAGAAAAGCAGCCAATATTTAGAATGGCCCCCAGTAGAAGGTAGCATGGGACCTTTGAGAAAGATAAAGGGCTATCACTCATTAAATTTTCAAGTTCTACAAATGTACCTGGCCCTAGGGGGACCTCAGTGAACAACACAAATCTCATCTTGCTCACATCATAGAAAAAGAGAAAGAGAAAACCAAAAAGCCAGATGTTATGTGTGAGAAGCTATGATCAGCCATCAAGACTATAGAATCTTAGTCTGCATGAGAGAGTTAACCTTGAGTCGGCAAATAATTGGCTGTATTTAGAAGTTTAATTACAAGATCAAAAAGCTGATAAAAGTAGGTTTTGAAAAAAGAGAATAGAAAGGGCAAGAAACTGTAGATAGAAAATTAGACAGTCATTACAATTAGTCCACAAAAATGTTTACTGTAGAGTAAAACTGAGTGATAGTGGAGCAGGATAGTGGTAAAAATATTGTATTTGAGACCTAGTCAAAAAGTTACAAGAAGCTTAGTTAAGCTAATATGGGTTGTATACAGAGGATGAAGGAAGATGACTAAATGATACCAAGGCTTCTGACTTGTTTAATTCTTTTGGTGGTAAAAGAACTGATATAAGGAAAGCTAAGCAAAAATCACCAATGTTTAGCTATGTTATTATCAGATACCTATTTCAATCTATATACTTGAAACCACAGGGAAAAAATACTTAATGCATTTAAGCCTTTTTAATTTTGTGAAGGCAAAAAGTGCAAACCTAAGAAACACATGTATATGTAAAAATAAAAAAAAATACTTAATGCAATGTAGTGATAAGTCGTTAAGCCAAAGAACATGTAATTGGAAATATTTTTTATGAAAATGTTTGCTAAAGGATGTTGGCAGTATTTCTTCAGAATTTTTTTCCTCTGAAAATATATGACCATAGTACAAATTTTAAAGTCCAAGAGTTAATCTGTTCACATAGTTTTGCTCAACATCATTGAATCTGAAAAGATATATTATTTATTGGTTCAGGTCATTATGGCAACACATACTTTTGTTTAAGATTTAGTGGGAAATAGTCTAATGATAAATAGGTGGCCATATTATTTGGGGTGGCTGAGCAAAGTAGTTTAAATGTTCTGTCTCTGGACAAAGAAAAGTATTGCTATAGTTAGAAATGTATCTGTAAGAGGAGGAGCAACACAGCGGCTGAGTAATAGCTTCCTTGCAACTGGGCATGGTGACACGAGAGACAGAGGACTCCAGGCATCTCTGGCTGGTGCAATCTGCCCAGAAGCCTCCCTTTGGGGACACAGGGAGTCAGCGAGAGACTTCTGGACCCCATGAGGAGGACAAAAGCAGTGGAAAACTGGCAAGTGGTTTCGAGCATTTGCTCTGTCCAATCCCGCCGGCAGCTCTAAGTACAGCAGCAGTGAGATTGCAACCTGGAAAGGCCTTATCTGTGAGCTGTTTTGTTTTTTTTTGGACCTGGCACTCAGCTGAAGTGCCTTGGGAGAACTTGGGCAAGAGCGTGGAGGATTTTAAGCATTGTCTAGGGTCCCAGGCTGAGCTGCTGAGTGGGCCGGAGCTAACAGTGTTTGGCTGTGGGCTGCGTGGAGCCACTGTGGGAGACCTGCCCCAGCAAGCTCCGCCGTCAGGGTCACAGAGCAAGGATTGGGTGGGAGACCTTGGGCAGTAATCTAGTGACTGAGTGGCCCAAAGGCAGGGACTGAGACGGCTTACAGCCTTGGCCCTCAGGGGCATAGAATGAGACCAGTTTTGGCACACTGGGTAAGTGGGAAGCCACTTTAGGAGTGATCCCAGTGACAAATGCTTTCCTAGGAAAGCTTCTGTTCAGCCAAGGTCAGCAGTTTAAAGTGCCTTTTACATGGGCTGAGGAGAGATTTAGGCTCTCCACCCTGTGGGGTTTGAGAAATCAGCAGAAGCCTCCAGTCTCCATCTCATACAGCCATATCAGCATTGTGATTAACATCTCATACCCTAGAAGATCACCTGTTGCCCAGACAATATTCAGCAAGATATATATATACACACACTGCTTTGTTTTTGGTTTTTTATTATTATTTTTTTAATTTCAACATTTTCCCTCTAGATTTTTCTTTTTCGTTCTTTCTTCATTTTTCTAGTGTAAATATAATTTTCCATTGTTGCCTACTTTAACAATTAGAACTTCATTTTTGTGAGGGTTTCTATGCCTATTATTTGGTTTTCTCCCCAGTTTTATCCCATAACTTTTCTGTTTACTTGTTTTGGTTTGATTTATAGCATTTTTGTCTTTCCTCTCTACTTGGTGGAGGTGGGGTACCGTGTCTTAACAGCCTGGCAAAGAGCTGCTGATCTCAAGGGAACCACCCAACCCAGCACCCCCAGAGGTTGGGTCAAAATACCCTACTGTACACCTATATTGCTCCTGTCTCCCTCTTTCTGTGCCTTTCTTCTTTTTGTCAGTATTCCCTTTTACTCACCCCCTCTCCTTTCTCTTTTTTTTTCTTTTCTTTTTTCCCCCCTCCTTCTTGCTCTTCTGGTCCTGTACCGAAAGGACTCATTGAAACTCTAGTCCAGAGGCATGGTAACTTAAAGAGCAAGAGGAAGTGAAAGGAAAATTAGGTCAAGGAAACAAATAAAAGAGAACACTCAGGAGGAAGAATCAGCAGAAAAATCCTGGCAACATGAAAAACCAGTCCAAAGCAACCCCTGCAAGAGACTGTGAGGTAGCTACTGCAGAGGATTCCACCTCTAAAAAAATGTTGGAAATGACAGAAAGAGAATTTAGAATACAGATAATGAAAACAATGAAGGAAATGATGGAAACAATGAAGGAAACTGCTGATAAAGTAGAAAATAACCAAAAGGCAATCCAAAAACAGAATCAAATCAGAGATGAATGATATGAAGAATATAGAAAGGATATAGCAGAGCTGAAGGAACTGAAGCAGTCAATTAGGGAACTTAACAATGCAATAGAAAGTATCAACAACAGATTAGACCATGCAGAAGAAAGAACCTCAGAGGTAGAGAACAAAGCTCTTGAGATAACTCAGCTAGTTAAAGAGGCAGAAAAGACGAGAGAGAAAGCAGAATGTTCACTGACAGAATTGTGGGACTATATGAAGCATTCAAACATACAAGTTATAGATATCCCAGGAGGGGAAGAAGAATGCCCCAGGGGAATGGAAGCCATACTAGAGAATATTATAAATGAAAATTTCCCAAATATTACCAAAGATTCTGACATACTCTTTTCAGAGGGATATTGGACTCCAGGTCACCTCAACTCTAACCAAGCTTCTCCAAGACACATTGTGATGAAACTGTCCAAAGTCAAGACAAAATAAAAGATTCTGCAAGGTGCCAGGAGTAAGTGCCAGTTGACCTATAGGGGCAAATACATCACGGTGACTGCAGACTCTCTAATGAAACTTTCCAAGGAAGAAGACAATGGTCATGTACCTTTAATCTACTTTCCACGGAACAATTTCCAGCCCAGAATTCTATATCCTGCTAAGCTAAGCTTTAAAATTGACAGAGAAATCAAATCATTTACTGATACACAAACATTGGGAAATTTGCCACAACAAGGTCAGCTCTACAAGAAATACTTCAACCTGTTCTACACACTGACCATTACAATGGATTGATAGCAAAGTAAGAACTCAGAAATTAAAGAACAGATCCTCACTTCCACAATGATGCAAAAGATAAAACTAAGCAATGGACTCTCACAAAATAAGATGAATAGAACACTACCACATTTATCAATTATCTCAATAAATGTTAATGGCTTGAATTCCCCACTGAAGAGGCATAGATTGGCTGACTGGATTGAAAAACACTAGCCATCCATTCGCTGTCTTCAGGAAACACACCTAGCTTCAAAAGACAAATTAAAACTCTGAGTTAAGGGTTACAAGACAATTTTTCAGTCAAATGGAATTCAGAAGAAAAGAGGAATTGCAATCTTATTTTCATATACATGTGGATTTAAAGCAACTAAAGTCAGAAAAGACAAAGATAGTCACTTTATATTGGTCAAGGGAAAAATTCAACAAGAAGATATTTCAATTTTAAATATTTATGGACCCAGTTTAAATGCTCCCAGATTCTTGAAAAAGACCTTACTCAGTCTGAGCAATATGATTTTCTATAATACCATAACAATAGGGGACTTTAACACTCCTCTTACAGAGCTGGACAGATCCTCTAAACAGAAATTAAACAAAGATATAAGGGACTTAAATGAGACCCTAGAACAACTGTGCTTGATAGACACAGTTGTCTATCGAGATAGACAACACTCCATCCCAAAGATAAAGAATATACATTCTTCTCACTGCCCCATGGAAATTGTCCAAAATTGATCATATCCTAGGACACAAAAAAACTCTCAACAGAATCAAAAGAATTGAAATTTTCCCTTGTATCTTCTCAGACCACAAGGCATTAAAGGTAGAACTCAACTCCAAGAAATACGTTCAACCTCACACAAAGGCATGGAAATTAAACAACCTTCTGTTGAATGACAATTTGGTGCAGGAAGAAATAAAAAAAAAATCATTACCTTTCTTGAGCACAACAACAATGAAGATACAAGCTACCAAAACCTGTGGGATACTTCAAAGGCAGTTCTGAGAGGAAAATTTATCACTTTAGATGCCTACATTCGAAAAACAGAAATAGAACGCATCAACAAACTCACAAGCCATCTTATGGAACTGGAAAAAGAAGAACAATCTAAGCCTAAACCCAGCAGAAGAAAAGAAATATCCAAAATTAAATCAGAGATCAATGAAATTGAAAACAAATTCTGAATTCAGAAAATTAATGAAACAGAGCTGGTTTTTTGAAAAAATAAATAAAATAGATAAACCTTTGGCCAGACTAACTAGAAATAGAAAAGTAAAATATCTAGTAACTTCAATCAGAAATGATAAAGGGGAAATAACAACTGATGCCACAGAGATACAAGAGGTCATCACTACTTGGAATCACATCCTCTCTCTCGACTCAGCCAGGAAGAATAGAGCCCTGAAGAAACAAATTTCAAGCACTGAGATCAAAGAAACCATAAAAAAAAATCTTCCAGCAAAAAAATGCCCTGCTCCAGATGGCTTCACACCAGAATTCTATCAAACCTTCAAAGAAGAGCTTATTCCCATACTGCAGAAATTATTCCAAAAAGTTGAGGAGGAAGGAATCTTCCCCAACACCTTCTATGAAGCAAACATCACCCTGATACCAAAACCAGGAAAAGACCCAACTAAAAAGGAGAACTTTAGACCAATTTCACTAATGAATATAGATGCAAAAATTCATAACAAAATCCTAGCCAATAGATACAGCTTATCATCAAAAAAGTCATACATCATGATCAAGTAGTTTTCACCCCAGGGATGCAAAGCTGGTTTAACATATGCAAGTCCATAAACGTTATCCACTGTATTAACAGAAGCAGAAACAAAGACCATATGATCCTCTCGATAGATGCAGAAAAGTCATTCGATAAAATCCAGCATCTTTTTCTAATTAGAACACTGAAGAGTATAGGCATACATGGCATATTTCTGAAACTGATCAAAGCTATCTATGACAAACCCACAGCTAATATTTTACTGAATGGAGTAAAACTGAAAGCTTTTCCTCTTAGAACTGGAACCAGACAAGGTTGTCTTCTGTCACCATTACTATTCAACATAGTGCTGGAAGTTCTAGCCAATGCAATTAGGCAAGACAAAGGGCATCCACATGGTAGCAGGGGAGGTCAAACTCTCCCTCTTTGCCGACGATATGATCTTATACATAAGAGAACCCCAAAGACTCAACCACAAGACTCCTGGAAGTCATCAAAAAATACAGTGATGTCTCAGAATATAAAATCAATGTCCACAAGTCAGTTGCCTTTGTATATGGCAATAACAGTCAAGATGAGAGGCTAACTAAGGGCACAACTCCCTTCACCATAGCTTTAAAGAAAATGAAATAGCTAGGAATATACCTAACAAAGGAGGTGAGGGACCTCTAGAAAGAAAATTATAAAACCCTAAGAAAGGAAATAGCGGAGGATATTAACAAATGGAAGAACATACCATGCTCATGGCTGGGAAGAATCAATATTGTTAAAATGCCTATATTTCCCCAAACAATCTACCTATTCGATGCCATCCCTATTAAAATACCAACATCATTTGGTGGCACCTGTGGCAAAGGAGTAGGGCACCAGTCCCATATGCTGGAGGTGGTGGGTTCAAACCCAGCCGTGGCCAAAAATTGCAAACTCTCCCCCCAAAATCATACTTTCAAGATTTGGAAAAAATGATTCTGCATTTTGTATGGAACCAGAAAAAGCCCTTATAGCTAAGGCAGTTCTTAGTAATAAAAACCAAGCTGGGGCATCAGCATACCAGATTTTAGGCAGTACTACAAAGCCATAGTGGTCAAGATAGCATGGTACTGGCACAAAAATAGAGACATAAACATTTGGAATAGAATAGAAAACCAGGAAATGAAACTAACATCTTACAACCACCAAATCTTCAATAAACCAAACAAGAACACACCTTGGGGGAAAGACTCCCTGTTCAATAAATGGTGCTAGGAGAACTAGATATGCACATGGAAAAAACTGAAACTGGACCCACACCTTTCTCCATTCACAAAAATTGATTCAAGATGGATAAACAACTTAAATTTAAGGCATGAAACAATAAAAATCCTGAAAGAAAGCATAGGAAAAACACAAAAAGATATTGGCCTGAGGAAAGACTTCATGAAGAAGACTGCCGTGGCAATTGCAACAACAACAAAAATAAACAAATGGGATTTGATTAAACTGAAAAGATTCTCTGCAGACAGCTAAGAAGACAAACAAAGCAAATAGACAACCTACACATTGGGAAAGGATATTTGCATATTTTGAATCAGACAAAAGCTTGATAACTAGGATCTATAGAGAGCTCAAATTAATCCACATGAAAAAAGCCAACAATCCCATATATCAATGGGCAAGAGAGATGAATAGAACCTTCTCTAAAGAAGACAGATGAATGGCTAACAAACATAAGAAGAAATGCTCATCATCCCTAATTATTAGAGAAATGTGAATCAAAACCACCCTGAGATACCATCTAACCCCAGAGAGAATGGCCCACATCACAAAATCTCAAAACTGCAGATGCTGGCATGGATGTGGAGAGAAAGGAACACTTTTACACTGCTGGTGGGACTGCAAACTAATACAATCTTTTTGGAAGGAAGTATGGAGAACCCTCAAAGAACTCAAGTTAGACCTCCCATTTGATCCTGCAATCCCATTACTGGGCATCTACCCAGAAGAAAAAAATCCTTTTATCATAAAGACACTTGCACTAGACTGTTTATTGCAGCTCAATGTACAATCGCCAAAATGTGGAAACAGCCTAAATGCCCACCAACCCAGGAATAGATTAACAAGCTGTGGTATATGTACACCATGGAATACTATTCAGCCATTAAGAAAATGGACACTTAACAGCCTTTGTATTAACCTGGATGGAAGTGGAACACATTATTCTTAGTAAAGCATCACAAGAATGGAGAAGCATGAATCCTATGTACTCAATTTTGATATTAGGACAGTTAATGACAATTAATGACATGGTAGGGGTGGGGGAAAGGAAGAGCAGAGAGAGGGAAGGAGGGAGGGGGTGGGGGTCTCGGTGTGTGACACACCTTTTGGGGGCAAGACAGGATTGTAAGAGGGACTTTACCTAACAAATGCAATCAGTGTAAGCCAGTTTCTTGTACCCTCAATCAATCCCCAACAATAAAAAAAAAAAAAAATTTGTACACCCTTAATATTTTGAAATTTAAAAAACCATAAAAATATATAAAAAATAGTCAGTGAGTTTGTTATTTTCCATTTTTCTTTATTGATGCTTAATTCTCAGGGAGAATATTAAATATTATTTGCCAGCAGAGTAAGGAAGTTGTTAGGAAGTTACATGGGAAGAAAGATCACTCACCTGATTGTTGCCACACTTAGTCCCGTCTTTTACCCACATTTCATTGCTTTTTTCATGACCGTAGGGATAGTCCAGGGAAACACAGATTAGTTTCTCTGCGTTTGCATAAGCGACAGTCGCGCCTGCCTTCTTAATTACAGTATCTGTGTTGTATACACATATTAATTTTCCACACTTCACATCTCTGTAATTGGTCCATAAAGGAAAATGATTAATTCTAATTTAGAAAAATATTGAAATAGCATCTCTAAAACAAACAGATTTAAATAAAGTATTCAAGGTTTTTGAAAAAAATATCAGTGATCCATCTTTATAAACCCTCAAATTTGAGGGCCTTGCCTCTGAACAAGGTTCCCTTTTCAACTTAAGCTATAGGTCCCAGACGGACAAAATTCTAAAAACTCACATTCAAGAAATATTTCGATTTCATGCTATAAAAATGAAAATAAAATCATTAAGATACATCATAATGATATTACTGGGAACTGCAAGAAAATCAAAAAACTAACCAGGATATGAGGAAGTATGAGCAGCATAAAAACAGTAACATAACTGAAGATCGGCCTTGCAGCAAAAATAATTGAAAACTAGAAGACTGTTGAATGATATTTTCAAAGGTGAAACAGAATATCTGCGGTTTTCCCACTGTACACGCAGAGAAAATATCCCTTGAAATGAGGTGTTGGCATTTTCTGCCAATAATTAATAAAATTCGTTATCAGCAGTCTTGGACTAATGAAAAGCTTAACTCTTTAGACTGAGCGGAATTTATTCTAGATGATGCTTGGAGCAGTGCAAAAGTCATGTAGCTTTGTTAGTGAAGGACGTTCTCTTCTGTTCCTAGTAGAAGAGAGTGGTTTTCATGGGTTTGTGCTAGATTTTGTGATAAATCACACACCAAAATAGAACTGTGGAGGCAAATCTACCTAAGGAAGCACTGTGAGAGAGATCCAGTACGAGGTTAATCAGCTTCCCTCAGAACATTTAAAAACTGGCCCATTTGTCAAAAACAACTATTTCACTAAAAATAGACCTGCCATTTGATCCTATAATTCCTCTACTAGGTATATATCCAGAAGACCAAAAATCATATTATAACAAAGATATATGTACCAGAATGTTTATTGCAGCCCAATTCATAGTTGCTAAGTCATGGAAGAAGTCCAAGTGCCCACTGAGCCATGAATGGCAGTAATGTATCTTACTGAGTAAAATATTTTGAATTGAATTGATGTAAATAAATATATAGATATCTAAATAAACATCAAGAAGGAAATACTTCTTCCTACCATACATTTCTAGCTAATATGACAAAGTCAATAACGGAATTAGAAAATCACTAATGGACTTTAAAACCAGCTGGCAAAAATTCAAACAGGAACAGAATGTGCCCAGTCTTAACACTCCACAACTGTGCTATTTAACACAAAAGAGAAAATGATAGCTTTATAGCTGAGGAACTTAAAAAAATTATAACTTTACCAAAATAGTCAACCTAAAATTTCCAATACTGAAAGAAAATAGCATGTGTCTTAAAAAGATTTGGGGCACAGCATTGCTTTGGTGGTAAAGATGCCAAAATGTATAACTTGGATATAATTATGACACATACCAAAGAAGCCCAAATTAAAGAAAAATTCTGCAAAACAATTATTCTGTGCTATTGCTTTTTAAAGCTACTGAAAAGGAAGGCAAAAACAGCAAAAAAACAAGTTTCAGATTAAGGAATTCTAAAAATACATTATGAGTAGATGCATTATGAGTAGCTGAGTCTGGATTTGTTCTCAAATAAGAGAAAACATCTCTAAACACTCTATTGGGACAACCGATGAAATTTTAATGAAACCTATTTGATGGCTACAACACAATGTTATAAGAAAATATTTTTGTTCTCAAGAAAAACACACAAATCTGCTGAGGTGTAAAGCACAGTCTCCAACTTACAATCAAATGGTTCAGAGAACAATTATGGAAAGAGAAAAGGAGCGAAGCACTAGAGAAAGGGAAGCGTTAAGCAGATGGACAAAGTGTAAACATGTGTTCAGACGCTGAGCAAAGTGTAGACGAGGGTCCTTTCTGGCACATAGAGCGACCTGCCAGTGGGAAGTTGTTTTACAGAGTTTGTACTCTTAACTTTTGAAATATTAAAATGCAATTTTACAACAAAATAGTGGGTCTCAGTAACATCCCAGTTCTAACAGATATAAAAATAGTAACAGTTTACAGTTCACACACTGGTAGGGCATGCAATGTGTCAGCCAGCATTCTAAATGATTTTCATGCAGTATATTCCATGCTGGCACCAAACCAATGATGGTCGTGTTTCTAATATTTATGCCTTACGCATGAGAATACGTGCCAGAAGTCACACAAATAAGTCAACAATGAAATGAGGATTTAAAACGGGACGTCTGGCCGTAGAGTGCAGGCACCTTCCTAAACGCTGAGCTTTACTTCCTAGACAGCAAAGATACGTTTATCTTCATTTCATCCCTATGAAAATCAGCATCCTTTGTAAAATTAAGGTGACAGCAAGCAAGTCAAAAATGATTACTGATGTGTAAATAATGTATCCCATACGGAAATTTAGCACTTAGTGGGAAAATACAAAGAACAATCTGGGTATCAGAAAAAGAAATGCGGCTGGTGTAATCCCAGCATTCTGGGAGGCTGAGGTGGGTGGATCACTTCAGCTCAGGAGTTTGAGATCAGCCTGAGCAAGAGTGAGACTCTATCTCTACTAAAGCTAGAAAAATTAGCCAGGCATTGTGGCAGGCACCTATAGTCCCAGCTACTCAGGAGGTTGAGGCAGGAGGATGGCTTGAGCCCAGGAGTTTGAGGTTGCTGTGAGCTGTGATGCCACAGCACTCTACCCCGGGTGACAGAGTGAGACTCTGTCTCAAAACAAACAAACAAAAAAAAAAATAATAAGAAAAAGGAATACTGACTCTTGTCTGTACAAGTTTTATAATTCCATCAAACTTGATCTTACTTTATACTGGGTGATATTTTCCTTCTATATAAACTTAATTGGTGATATTTTCAAATATAAGGTAATAAGCAGAGGTTCTCAAATAGGTTTCTGAAAACATACTTAAGTTCACACTTCTTGTATCCATCACCTTCTGGGCCACAGTTCCCAGATATATCACCCTTGGTATTAAGTTCAATGAAACACTGGTCACTACCGAACTGTGTAGCTAAAGAAAAGTATGGTTAGTCATATTGAGTGAGTACTTACTTAAAATAATCAACAAAAACACATAAAATTACAAAATGAGTTAAAATACATTTACAAAACAAGATCACACTACAACTTTCAAAATAAAAACTAAATTTTTAAGATTATGCAAAACCACTTAACACTTAAAAATTGAAAGGATTCTTGACTGCTATCCATAAACATATACCCAAGTTAACTATGGGATACAGGTTAACTTCTAAGGTTGGTAAGACTATACATTCCTTTCTGTAAGTACATAAGAAACTTGTTAAAAATAATTGAATGGGCTCGGCGCCTATAGCTCAACTGGCTAAGGCGCCAGCCACGTACACCTAAGGTGGCGGGTTCGAATCCCCAGCCTGGACCCGCCAAACAACAATGACGGCTGCAACCAAAAAATGGCCAGGCGTTGTGGCAGGCGCCTGTGGTCCCAGCTACTTGGGAGGCGGAGGCAGGAGACTCGCTTGAGCCCTGGAGTTGGAGGTTGCTGTGAGCTGTAATGCCACGGCACTCTACCCAGGGGGATAGCTTGAGGCTCTGTCTAAAAAAAAAAAAAAATAATAATTGAATGAGTGGCCAATAAACAGTTATTTTTTTCATAAATGTCTTTTCAAATCAAACCACTAACCAATTATGTCATTTTTTATCATAATTTCTTCAAACCAAAAAAATCTTGGCATCATCATCTCTTCATTCTCAGTCTCACTACAAATTCATATGCATAACCCTTTTAGTTTTAATTCTCGTAAGATCCAACCTACTTAAGGACAAGTTTATTTTTCATAATCCACATTGGCTCTGCTCTGAAACACGTAGCCAAAAGTCTTTGACAAGAGATTGACCCATTGCATAGTGTTGATGGAGAAAAATGATATTCTGATATTCCATGAGAGGAGCCTTGGTGGACAGACTAGGATCTCAGCTAAAACCCCTACAGGCACAGTGAACTGAGAATATATAGTTTATTTTACCTCGGAGGTTATTTATAAAGATGATTATGGGCGAGAAGTCAAAATTTTAAGCTTGGCTAGGGCAACGAGCCATTCCTGGTGGGCAGAAAAATAAGCCCTATTTTAATAATCTTTTATAGCTGTAATGACAGAATACAGTATATAATTGGTTTCTTCCTTAAGGGTTTTTCCTGATTCTAAACATGTGTAGGACAGGAGATTAAAATACAAGGAGAGATAACTATAGTCTAGAAAGTAGAAGGGAAGAAGACAGGAAGGGGACGGGAAGGGGCGGGGGGAGGGTATTTTGGGGGACCTCACCTAATGTGCATGATGCAATGGTACATTTCAAAACTATTAAGAAATGAGTATAATTGTGATGGATGTGTTATTTAGTTCAATGTAAGCATTTCACATTGTATATCAAAGCAGTACACTGAACCCCATAAATGCATCAATGTACGAAGTTATGATTTAATAATAATAATAAAAGATAAATGGGGTTGAAAAAATATATAAGGAGATAACTTCCATTAAGCAGAGTAGATTTTTCTGCAGTCTCTGTCTTGTGGTTACATGCCTGCCAGGGTTGGGAGTGTCAGGGAACAGAACAAACTCTCAGCTGAAAGCCCTGGAAAGTGGCACCCAAGGGTGAACTAGACCTCCACAGAGCCTCATCTACTCTCTAACCAAACTTTGACAAACATCATTTTGTGATTAGAGCAATCTGTCTCTCATCTCATATGCTGAGCAGAAGAAAAAGATTGATGATATCAACACATGACTGGCATTCGGACTGTAAATGGGTTTTCTAAAAGGCAAAATTTAGGCGGCGCGTGTGGCTCAAAGGAGTAGGGCGCTGGCCCCATATGCCGGAGGTGGCAGGTTCAAACCCAGCCCCAGCCCAAAACTGCAAAATTTAAAGATTAAAGGCAAGTGGAATAAGTAAAAAATAACTCGATATATGTCTTCATCTAAAATACCCTGAAGAGAGGAGGAGAGGAGAGTAGGAAGGGGTGTGGGGAGGCAGAGGGGCGAGGGGAGGGGAAGGGGGGCCTAGCCAGCCCTCACCTAAAGAGTACAATGTAAGGGTATATGGCTCCTGGGTGAGGGGCTCAACTACGCCTTTGACTTTACCTTACAAAAGGCAAACAATGTTTACCCTCATGTTAATCTGAAATAAAAAATAAATAAGAAAATTAAAATAGAGGGCGGTGCCTGTGGCTCAAGGAGTAGGGCACTGGCCCCATGTGCTGGAGGTGGTGAGTTCAAACCCAGCCCAAAACTGCAAAATAATAATAATAATAAAAATAAAAAAATAAATACAATCACTCAAGAGAAAACGACATCTAGCTATATTAAAATAATTGAGTAAAAGCATCCTGGAACATAAATGCTAAAATAAATTACAAAGCATATAAATTTGCAAGAAGGGAACTATCCAAAATAAATGAATGGGAATAATTGTGGAGGTTTAATTAAAAATAAAGATATACTTGAAGTTTTAACTACCCACACATTGTAGTATTAAATCACAGCCCATGAAACTCAGAGAAGACTAATCAGAAGTCAACACACACACACACATATGTCACGTGGATGTGTCTTAAGACCAAAGACAGAGAAAATGTTGATGGAAGAAAAAGTAAAGAAACACATTATGGCAGATTTTTTTTTTCCTCAGAAAATACGAAAATCATTCAACATTTTAAAATCCCAAAAGGAAAAAAGTAGATAATCCTTAATGCTGTGCCAACTTAAAATATGTTTCAAAAATTAAGGGTGGGGGGGAAGACTTTTGCAGACTAGCCCAAAATACGTTTCCAGAAGGCCCTCATTTCAAGAAATGCTAATGAAGATTATTTAGGCAAAAGGAATATGATTCCAGATAGAAATATGAAACTATGCAAAGAAATAGCAAGGGCTTCAAATGGAATAAATCGAGGCAAACATAACTTTCTGTCCTTTTAATTACTTATAAAAATAATTTTGTAAAGCAGAAACAGAAACAATGTATCATAAGCTTATAGCGAACATAAAAAGTCAAATATGTATCAGCATAAAAAGTCAAATATGTATCAGCGGCAGTGCACAAGACGAAAGAGAGGAATGGTGTGTACTATTCTTTCAAGCTTCATGTGTCTAAGGCACTGTGTTTGAAGTGGGATAGTAATAAGAAAGGTATATTTTAATTAATTAAAAATATTATAAAACCTAGGACGATCATACAAAAATATCAAAATAATGAGCCAACATTGGAAATACAAAATTGAAACTTAGAGATAACTTCCAAAATGGCAGAGTGAGGACCTCAGAGGATTTGGTCTCCCACTAAAATAATAAAAATAAAGGGAGAAGGAAGGAGAGAGGAGGAGGGAGGGGGATTGGTGTGCTCCTACCTAACGGGCACCGTGTAAGGGTGTATGTCACACTTCCTGGGTGACATACATTCTTTATTATAAAATAATAAAAATAGGTTGGCGCCTATGGCTCAAGGAGTAGGACGCTGGCCCCATATATAGCAGGTGGCAGGTTCAAACCCTGGCCAAAAAAACTGCATTAAAAAAAATAAAAATGGCTCGGCGCCTATAGCTCAACCGGCTAAGGCGCCAGCCACGTACACCTAAGGTGGCGGGTTCGGATCCCCAGCCCGGACCCGCCAAACAACAATGACGGCTGCAACCAAAAAATAGCCGGGCGTTGTGGTGGGCGCCTGTGGTCCCAGCTACTTGGGAGGCGGAGGCAGGAGACTCGCTTGAGCCCAGGAGTTGGAGGTTGCTGTGAGCTGTAATGCCATGGCACTCTACCCAGGGGGAAAGCTTGAGGCTCTGTCTCAAAAAAAAAATAAAAAAATAAAAAAATAAAAATATGAGCAAAATAGTAAAACTGAGAACTGAAGCCAAAATCTACTGATCCAAGTGAAGTGTATCTGTCCAAATCAAAGACTGAAACTAGTGTGACAGTCAGTTTTGTGCGTTGGCTTGGCTATTGAAAACAAATCTAGGAGTGTTTTATAGGTATTTCATAGATTAAATCTATGATCAATTTACTTTTTTTTTTTTTTTTTTTTTTGGCGGGGGCTGGGTTTGAACCTGCCACCTCTGGCATATGAGGTGGGCACCCTACTCCTTTGAGCCACAGGCACCAGCCTGATCAATTTACTTTAAGCAAGAAAGAGTGTTCTAGAGGGAGGAGGTCTGCCTGGGCCTCATTCATCAGTGGAAAGATCTTTAGAGCAGGCTTCCCAGAAAAAGAAGAAATTCTGCCTGTGGACTTCCATTTCAGTTCATAACCTAACATTTCCATCCTGCCCTTCTTTTTTTTTGAGACAGAGCCTCAAGCTATCCCCCTGGGTAGAGTGCTGTGGCATCACAGCTCACAGCAACCTCCATCTCCTGGGCTTAAGGTGATTCTCTTGCCTCAGCCTCCTGAGTAGCTAGGACTACAGGCACCTGCCACAACACCTGGCTATTTTTTTGTTGCAGTTTGGCCAGGGCTGGGTTTGAACCTGCCACCCTCAGTATATGGGGCTGGTGCCCTACTCACTGAGCCATAGGTGCCCCCCCAAAATTATAATTTTTTTGTGTGTGTATATTTTATCACAAAGAAAAAGATTAAACGTCCTCAATTATATGCCAACAAACCCAATCCAGCAACATCAAAATGACTACGTGGTTGTTTTTCCAAGAATACAAGGTTCATTTAACACAAAGGAGCCAAGGGTAATGTATCATATTTTTTTTTTTTTTTTTTGAGGCAGAGCCTCAAGCTATCCCCCTGGGTAGAGTGCCATGGCATCACAGCTCACAGCAACCTCTAACTCCTGGGCTCAAGCGAGTCTCCTGCCTCAGCCT